AACAAAGGGCCTCTTGACGAGCAGCCCATCGCAAGCCATGTGAGGAACTTCCTCTGCATCGCGACACCCTGCTTCCCATCCCTCAGAGCAAGACAGTCCCCCAGAGTTTTTACCCATTTTCCCACCACCAAATCAAACCTGTGTTCACAGCAACATCAGAAAAACAGAGGATAGCACAGAGTGAATCAGCCTCGTTTGTTTACATCGGTTTTAACATTGATTAGGTTCAATCTTGCAGTATAGTGGCTTTAAATTGACTATCATGCTATTATTATCTGCCCCCATGCTTACGATCTCCTTATGAAGTTGTATTGATGTGGAAATACGGTAGTTCAAATAGGTTTAATACATTTGTGCTTTTCATTCTGTCAACAAAAGTAAAAATGAGCAAAAAGATAAAAAAAAATAACGGAGAGGGAATTAAATGAAGCCAGGCTGATGGTCACTGAGACTTTCATTGACGGGTATTTTCAGGGGACACAAACAAGAAAAAAGGATGAAAGAATTAACCACAAAATATAAAATGGAAGCTAGCAAACCAGAAAAACAAAAGACAAAACTGAATTCCAACTCTTCGAGCCATACCCATTCAGTTTGAGTAAAATGAGTCTGACTGACAATACACGCATTACATGATGTGTTGAAATTGTATTCATGCTTTGATAGAAAATGGCATGACTGATAGAGGAAATACATGAGGACAGCATGAATCAGGAACTTTTAATGATGTCCTCTTTTAATAAGTAAAGAAATTTGGGCATACCAGTACCTGGGTACTGGTACTTTTTGCCAGGCTTACTCTGACATATCTCCATTAAGATTAGTATGGTTTTTATGTCAGTAAAGTTGCATATTCTTCAAGGTGGCATTTACACACTGCTTTGCCTCATGCAGACCAAAAAGCTACCTGAATTCTGTAAATTTGGTGGATCCAATGTTTAAAGCTTCTCAGACTCTCCACCCCCCTCCAGTATTGAACATTTTCCAATTTTGGTTGAAGGGATCACTAAGACACAGTCAACATGTTTGATTAAAATCAGTGCATATGTCTACCTTACACACAAATCTTACCACTGATCATTGTCCTGCCTTTGTTTTACATAAAGAAATGACCAAGTATGGAGACAGCTCTAGAAACTAAACACATTTGCACTACACCCACCCTGTTGTTGAGTTTCTGCATGACTGAAGACAGTTGTTTCCCATTAAAATAACCACAAATTACATCACCCCCACCATTCCTTCTCATGGTTCGTTTTAAACAGGTTTGCAAATAACTAAATGAGATAAGAAATCTTTATCTAATGTCTTTTTGATGCCACATTTAAACTAGCTGAACCCAATCTAATAATGGTAACAATCAGCATTTACATCATAATAGTGGCCACCTACTGTAAACTGTGGATAGATACCAAGAAGTCAACTGTTCCATAATGTCCCGGCTTGGGAAACGATATTGGCACTTTGCCTTGGAGGCCAGCTGTGGTGCACCACACTAGTTTGCACCGGTATTGTTACATTTTCAACTTGTTTTTTAGTCGCTCGTAGCCCATTACGTGTGTCCAGGTTTGCAGATGTCCCTGATGTCTGTGCAGAGACATTACCTCTCTGCTTTTGGTGATTGAGTAACAAAGAAGAACCTGGTTTTGATTTTCCCACAGATCTGCTGGTGAGAGTAGTGGTCCCCAACACCCAGGGTTTTGGCACAGTGACTATGTTGGCACAGACCCAAGCTGTGCACCCCCCCACCCCTTTTCCCAGGACCCTGGGAGTGTAATACATTACTAACAAAATCCCACTTCCCATTCCTCTCAAAGTTTCACACCCATGCTCCCCCCCTTACCTCCCTCCTATGGCTGGCATGGCCCCATGAAAAGGGAATTGGGGTGACATGCATAGGACTTCTCTTCCCTTCTTTTCCCATCAGAGAATCTTAGCCTCAACATTTTTGTGTGTGTGTTCATTTTGGCTTTTTTTTTTTTTTTAACAAAAAGCCTGCTTTTGCTCAAACTAACCTTTTCGCTTTTAAAATAAGTGGACTTTGTCATTTGGATGGTATTTCAGCTGCAGGCCATGGCGTGAAACTTACAGGGGTAAAAAAAAGAAAAAGAAAAAAAAAAGAGTTTTTCACTGTTAAATGGATTTAAAGGGAAGAGCACCACCGTGGGTAAAAATATGAAAGCCCGTGTCTGGAAAAAGAGCCTGTCTGTGTACCTCGCATCTCTCTGGACAGCACTGGGGGAACGCATTCAAAGGCGTGTACGTGTCTGGGTAACATGTAATGACATTATTCTCACCAGGGTGACCCCTCATTGTCGCAAGGCTTTCTTCTCCCGAGCTCGTGAAATTGACATAAGCTCTGCAAACATTCCAGGCATTTTTTTCTCAAGGCCACGTCTCATTGGGGGTCTTTCATTGAGGAAACCATCAATATGAGCAGCACCACCTACCAGTGGAGTGAAAGCATGATTCCCTCACCAGTTTCAAAGCTTGAGGTGGGTTTCTCACATAAATCGTCAATGATAAAAGTCTTTTGTCTCAGAAACCGATTAACATAGGACATTTAAAAAGTTACAGCGGTTTCTCTGGGATTTTAGCTTTTGGCCCTCCTCTTTACAAACAGTCTGCAGAACTGTCATTCCTCGTTTATAATGCAGCCACAAAGCTCCACATAAGAACATTTTTATGCCATATAAATGAGCCGTTGTGCTGGCCTTCACAGGGGGTTGGAAATGCAGATACTGAGGCACCAGGAATGAGAAACACAGTATCCAGTCAAAATCTTACAGCCAACTATAACTAATTAAATCTGACTACATTATATGTGAATACTGAAAAAAATGTTTGCTGGTATGTAGTATGTTTCTTCCTCAGCTGTTTCCTTTAGTCCAACCTGAACTAGTGGCCTCAATCTTTTTCAAATATCCATTTCACTCAGCACACAGCTGACAACATTTGTCATTTGGACAAATGAAAAAATGAAACTCCATCTTGAGGGATGACATTTTTCACTGGAATTTAGAAAAACAGCCGTCTGACAAGTCTGAATGAATATGAAGGATGACTATTGCAAAAAAAAAAGTTGAAGGATTCAGTGATATCAGTTAGCTATTCCTTACAGAAAATTGACGGCCACTTTTACTTTTTCAGGAGATAAAGTGCCGAAATCAGGAACAAAGTCCTGAAATTTTAATTAAACCAAAAAGCTCTGCTATTTGCTCTGCTGTGTGGGTGTCAGGGAAATTAGTCATACACAGCCTCTTACAGCATGTGTGTGTTTATGTGTGTTTGAGAAAATATCAGCGTGCTGTTCCAGGTTTAAGTAAGGACAAGTCATAATGTGGCTTAACTGAATCTACAAAATTTAATGAGCAGAACTCTTATTGTTGGCTGAGAAGACTGCGCTCTGTTATCATACTGCATCTCATTCAGATCAGGGATGCTCTTGTGTGCTCTTCTGGTGTTGCTGAAGTTCCTCTTTGAGTCAACATTTCAGGAAAAGTAAATAAACAGCTAATTTTCCATTCTTTGATCCATTTATTCTTTGGAATGGGTATCAGGAAACAGAGGAAGATCTTTTATCTTTTTCATAAATCGACTTTCAGCTTATAGGAATGTTCCATTTTTTAGGAAAGGAACAAAACATCCCTGCAGACGAACTCATACCAGGCTGAGATCAAACGCTTTTTTCACAATATAGAAAACGTTTTGTTTTTTTAAATCTGTATTCTAACCTCAGGAAAACTCCTATTTAAATGTTCTCCCCTTTCATGTCTTCCAGATTTTACTGGTCTCCATACTTGCTGGTTGCTCTCATCTAGGAATGGTCTGATGTGGGCTGGATGGAAACATGGCTCTTTAATGGATCTTCTTTGTGTTTTCAAAAATAGATCAAAGGATTTGGAGCCAAAGACTGAATGGTGCGCACATCCCGCAAACACAAATGTCAAACTTTGAGGACAGAAAAAAAGCAGTCTAATATTTCAGCACTTTTTTTCCTGCTCTTGTTTGCAAAGCTGGAGACAGACTCAATTAAAGCTTGACTCCTGAAACGAACAGCTGGGGATTGAAATGACCATCCACGGGCAGATGATCATACACTGGATGATAAATACATGCTATCAAAAAAGCTCAAGGATAAAGCCACTAGCTGAACACATGGGTGACAGTGAAGTGAGACGCTCTAAGAATAACCGAGAATAAACAATACACCAATGAATTAGAAATAGCTAATATGCTTTAATAAGCTGAGGATTCTATAGTGGACACTTTAGATCAGCAGAATGATCCTTTTCAGTGCTGTTAGGTTATCCACAGCCCACCTTTGCAGCTCTCTGCCCTGCCCTGTTGCTACAGGAAACTAACTTTGAAGTCAACAGCTCACAATACAAATGGTTCTTAGCTTTGTGTTAGAAGTATGAGCACAAAGAATCCCCGCTGGCCGAACGCACACATTTATGAGACAAAACAAAAGCAGATCAGTCCATTTCAAAGCACCCCCCCCCCCCCCCCCCCTGTTCTCAGCTACCTGCTCCTGAGTTGCCTGCAGCAGACCTCATCCGGCTCTTTCTCAGTTTCACCAGACTCAGTTTCACCGGACTCCAGGGTTAAGAGGGCCTCTGGAGGTCCAGGATCAAGACCATTCTCTGGTTTTGCCAAGACCTGCTCCCTCTGGGCTCTAACAATGAGGAGGTTTTTCATGTCTCACTTTCACTGGTTAGAATATGATTCTCTCTTTGGTCAAAACACCATTTTTGGGATGGCCCTATCAAAAGTGTTTGTGTCTGACAATTATTAAATGGGTGAAAGACCTGGTTTTTTAATAGGTAGGATATTAAAGGTGATACATATTTTTAATCATTCTTTAACCTTTTATAGCATCCTGGTGGTAAAATTGGAGTCATGCATACAATAACCCACAGATGGATATGAGGTGACTAGCGATCAAACTATTAAAAACTATCAAACTATTCCTGTAAACAGGAAACCAGCCTCGCACGCTACTCCTTCTTCATGTCTTTGACTCGCAGCTGCAGCTTAGAGTTCTCTATTTCTAGCTCCTGCACTTGGCTTTGACAGCACATCAGGACCTCAAACGGCAAAAGTGCAAATCATTCCAATATCCACGCATTCCACCATTTTTAACCAACTGAAATTACACACTTCAGCAGCAGAGCTAATTATGACTTTTTTTTTAGGGGGGGGTGTATGCTGTAAATCAATAACTGCTCACCGTCCTCCTCTCAGACTCTTTTGTCTGTCCAATGTGGATCTCCCTGTTTTCCTGGTGCTCTTTACCTGTCGCCACCCTGGTGTCCAAAGACGCCGCTGACCACAAGAGAGCGAGCGGAGCCACATCACAGGGGAGAGCAAACAGACCACATCACATCACATGAATCAAACACAACCACAACTCAGAGGAAAAACTTTGACGCAAACCCAGGGCAGATGTGTGTGGGCCCAGCCCCGGGCCGTACACTCTGTGATGGGGTTTGCTTGCTTGATTACTGGAAATAGAAAGATAATGGTATTTGATCTCGACCGGGTTTGTGCACGAGCAAACGGCCCTTTACATTTTCTCCTCCAGTTTTCTCTGCTGCTCCACGTCCTCATTTTCTTCAGAATGTCTTTGATGTCATTTTGGTTTCCGAGCAGCTGTGCGCGAGAGGATGAGTAGAAAGCCTCAGGAGATAGGCTGGGACTTAAACTGTAATTAGTTCACCGAAGCCTGTGAGACACATGTGCTTGCCACCATTTCCAAAAGTGAGGCTATATTCTATGTTTACACACTCACAGTTTTCTCCGCGTTTTTTTTTGCTCCTCATCCAGTTCTGCCACATCCTCAGGCTGTTGGAACAGTAACCATTTTTAGGATAAATTTAAAGAATTACATGCTGACAAAGTAAGGGACAACACAAAATAAGTCATAAAAGACTTGCTTGTTGTGTAAGCCTCTCATTGACTTATGATTCCTGAAAGGTGCTTATTAACTCCAACAAGGTGTTTCACCTGGACATTGATATCATCAAAGCATGGCTGTCCAGCTCCCTGTGAAGGTCCTGGGTGGTAGCATTTATTCTCTGCTGCTCCTTTAGCTGCTTTGCGATGGCATCCTGGGCTCGGGCCAAAGCCAGCAGCTCTGCACTCAGCTCATCACTCAGAGCCAGCTCCTCATCGTGGGCCTCTGCCAAAACACAGTAGTTCTTCTTCAGCTCGTTGTACTCCTCTGCCAGGCCTTGGCCGCTCTCCTCTTTCTCTTAAACGAGCTCCAGTCGACTGGAGCTCTCCGGACAGCCTGTCACGCTCATTTCGAAGCTTTTTTATCACACACTCTGAGTTCAGGATCTGACCAAAGAAAAGGAGTGAAATACAGACAGCTGCTGCTCCTTTCACAGGAGCGGTTCCCACACGTGCACGTGCATCTTTTGCTTAGTAAAATGATTTAAATCAGTCATTTCATGACATCCTTTTAACAAAACAAAAACAAACAGCCCTCACCTTGTCTTTCAGCTCAAACGTCTCCTCCTCGTATTCTTCTCTCATTTTGTTAGTTTGAATTTTCTGAATTGATTTGATAAGATTTTTTTCCTCAATGGTCAGTACAGTTGAGTTACTTTAAAGATTAGGTAGTTCTTGCATTCCACATGTAGTCTACCTTCAGCCTTTCCTCTTCCGTCTGGACCAGTCTGCAAGACAGATACATTGGAGTTTTTCAGATGTGTCAGTCTGCTTTCCAGGTGACCCACTTTGGTGAGAAGTTGTTCTTTCCTGTCTTGCAATTCCATCTGATGTGTTGTGAAGTAACATACCAACAGTCATGTCACCTCTGTTAAGCTTGAAAACTACCCAAGCTATCTATGCTCAATGTTCACCAAATTGTTCATTTTGAAAAAACGAAGGTGCCGTAATGCAGACAGGATGTCTCTGTCACCCTACAAGAGATTAAGATAAACTCATTTTTAAAAGGAACAAAGTGACCAAAAGCTCTGTAGGTTTACATTATGACTGTTGTGTGCAGCAATTTTCTGTTAGATAGATTCTTAGTCATTTTATTTTCTTTCTTTTTTAAATAAATTTGAGGGAGTTTTTCTTTTGTCAAAATCTTGCTATGCAAGATTTATTTAGCCTGAAATATGTTCAGTTTTACAATTCACCAATTAAATGTCCCTTATTATGTTAGAGTGAATCGGTATGTAGCAACAAGTGTACTCACATTTTCTTTAGTGACAGCTTGAATTTGCTCCTGAAGTGGATCTGAAGCGGTCTGGAGCCCTTCAGCCTCCATCATGCTTTCCTCCAACAGCTGCTTGTGTCCTGTAACAGTGTGTTGCCATGACTCCACAACACAATTAAAAAGCAGCGTGGGAACACTGTCCTCATATATCATTAAATTAGTTTTTTTCTTCTTTTTTTTTAAGAAAGCTGGAAAAATAAAGCAACAGGAGTGTCTGTGTACAATTTATGAAAAGCTCCTCTTCTTTGTGTGGTGTTGACTTTTCATCCTGGTCCCCCTGCACAACAGTCAAACCACAGATTAGCTCCGACACTTGTGTCCCAAAATGATATAATGTAAAGCTGCGGCCATTGTGAGGATAATTCTATGGACAACATCGCCTTCTGGTGACTAGCAGTAGAATAACAGGAACACAGTACAATCAAAAGTTCAGGAGTTGTTTCTGCAGTACATCACCAGGTTTGGTGTGCAAATTAGCATATAATGAAATGGAGGACATTTTATTTAATCCCTAATTACAGAATGAACAAATCTCAAGACATATATATTCAAACCGTTGATAATAGATCATCATAACTTTTAATGTTTTACTTAAACTAAGATATTTGCTGTTAAAGATCCCTCCTTAACCTTTACCTGTGATGTATATCCCCCTTAAAATAAGTGCTTTTTTGGGGATTTACAAGACCAAAACTATCCTAGTTCTAATGTATGTTAGCATTAAGATGGCAGCTACAAAAAAATTTCACAACTTTGTTGATACTAAAACCATTTTTATTGTAAGAATTTGACAATGTAAAGAGATAATATGTCAAATGCTAGTAGATTGGTCTTATACATTATCAAAAATAGCTGCAAAGTACTTAAAAAAGATAGAGCTTTTGACACAGAAAATGCATTTATATCATCTGAGTGAAAGAAAATGCGTAAAAGAGCTGACGATGAATTCAAGACAACCTGTGCTATTAATGAACAAATTTAACTTTACAAGTGAATAACTGCATTATTACAATATGAAAAATTTGAGCCCCATTTGGAAGATGACAGATTTCCATACTGACTTTCAAAAATCCCTTTGAAAAAGGAAGAAAAAGAAAAAACATGCCAGTGTGACCCAGTCAAGACATATTCAAGTCCTCCTCCACTTCGTCTTCCTCTTTCACACTGGATCTTCGGCCAGAGTGCTCTACTGGTAGGCCCATCTCTCTCTGCAGGGCCTCTAGGCTCGCCTGGCTAATGTAGAACTTGACATTCTGGGATGGCAGCAGCTTTTGGAGCTCATCTAGCTTATGGTAGGCCTGGAGAAAAAGATACAAAGAAGGGAGAACTGATCATCCAAAGACTTATTAAGATTTGATCACATAAATCTGGCAGAATGGATTTAATATAATGAGTATTAATCTGTATCAACAAACATCATCAAAGTTTTATTCAACCGATATTGTCAAACAATTATTCAAAACAACTAGAAAAATAGATGACGGTCACCACTTGGAAGTTGCCTTGCTGACAGTGATGCTCAACAAGGAAACCAAATGCATCCCCTATCCTGACAGCCGGGTCCAATTCTGGCTCGTCCAGCAGAGCTTCACACAACCGCACCGCCTCATCTGAATCCTCCGCATACAGTCTGCAGGCAGGTAGGAAAAGTTCTATCACTCAAATGAATGAATAAGCAAGAAAATGGTAGGAGTGTGAGTTCAAATCAGTAGAAGCCCTGATTTAAACTCCATTTAAAAGTTAGAACAGAAGAATATTATCTGTACTTTCCTCAGAATCCAAAAACATTATATTTTTTTAGGTTGAAGGAAGTACCTATATTTAAGATAAGTAAAATAAAGCAATGGATATCCATGCAAAATAACTTATTTTTACCTTAGTGTAAAATCTTACCCGCGAATGTGGACAAACTTTTTGATCAGGGTAATCTTATGCTGCAGGTGGACTAGTCTCGCTTCTTGTTGACCACCTGAGGAGTCCTTTACTTTTGAAAGGCACTTGAAAGCCTCAGTCAGTGCATCCAGCGCCTTTTCATAGTTTTGGTAATCATCTATTTCTACCTAAACCACACACATAAAAATAATGGTTAATATTCTTCAGCTGTTCCCTTTAACAACTTTCAAGAAGTTGTCCAGTTACTTTTCTAAGAGTGAACAACCATTAAGGCGCACTAAGATTCAAGATGTTTTTTTTACATTTGAGATTTTTATCAGTTTATCTACTAGAATAAAAAAATAACCATAGTAATATAAACATAAATTTAGCAAGGGGCATACCATACCTGAGCACAGGCTTCATAGAAGCCAGCGAGGAGGTCTGGTGCCCTGCCCTTGGTGTAAAAACCAATGATATTCTTCAAGATTTCTGGGCTTTTACGCCAGTCCAGAGACTGAAGATAGTTGGCAGCCATGATGAAAAGCTCTTTCTGGCGGCACACGTTGGCAAAGAAAATAATTTTCTCTGTGTCGCCTGATTTGAGGAGAGCTTTCATTGCCTGTTTAAAATTGAAACACAACAACAAATATTTCAAACTTTTTTTCATACTTAAGAAGATGTCAAATTAACTGCATTTATCGGTCCGTAAAATTAGTTTGCGTGAGGGAAACTAATATCTCAAATTGAAAAAGCTGACACAGGGCAGACAGATAAGAACAGATTTTGTAAGAGTAATATGATTTAAAATGCCACAAGAATAAATTCATTTGTGTTTGTTTTAGCACTACAATATGTCCCAATGGACTGGCAGGCAGGATGGTTTTAAAGACACCAGTACTTTAATCTAGTTCAGAGAAATCCTCACACCACGTTTATGACATGCTGCATCATTACCTTCTGTTTGCTTCCTGCCTGTGTGTATTTTTTGGTAGCCAGGTGGTAGTTTCCCTGCCGCATGCAGCAGTCAGCTATCTTCTCCAGCAGCTCCTTGCGAGCCTCTTCAGACAAGTCTTTTGAATCAGTCACCGTCATCCTCTCAGCCAGCTCCTCAGTGATCGTCAAGTTTTGAACCAAACACAACTCTAGGGCTTGATTGTACTGGGGGCACATGTGAGGAAACATAAATATCACATATTCATACATGTAGATCCACATGCAGGTGAAAATGTGTCGAACAGGTACCTTCTTGGCTGCGACCAGTAACTCCACTGACTTTTCATACTGGGAGTGTGTGATGAAGAAGTCGGAGCAGCGAGCAAGGAGAGCTGGGTCAGAGTTCTCATTTAGGTCATCTGCAATGAGCTGAAGTGCAGAGAACTGCTCTGTGGCAAAGGCCAGCTCTAGAGCTTTGGAGACGTAACCGGCCTACAAGACAACAAACAACAGACCGTAGCAGCTCTGGTTCTCATCCAGGAACAGCTAATGTTACCTCTACTTTGACAATTTAAAGATTCAACACATGCTGCGTTATTGCCATCTTGTGGAGCGTTTTAGAATGCATCAGTCCTTCTCTGTGATAAAAAGACCAACCTTGTGGTAGAGTGCAACGGCTCGGTCCATGTGCGTGCTTCTCTCCTCGTAGTAACAAGCAGCCTCCATCATGTCCTCGGAGTTACTGAGCAGAGCTAGATTCATTAGCTGGTCATCCAGACCGTTCTCCTGGTCAGACACGCACATATCAGTAAACAGCATTCAGTAAAGAGCCTTCAGTCGTACAACCTGAGGGCCTGTTGCCGGTTCTGTACCTTGCAAAGTCGTATGGCGTTGTTATAGGCCTGAGCTCGAGTGTAAAAGTGGACAGCTTGTTTGATGTCATCATGACCCTCGTAATGCCTGGCCAGGTGGTATGATGCAGCTCTGTCACCTGTGTCATTAGCGATCTGAGACGCCTGGGAGACAATTCACAAAAGCATCATCACACTTCTTAAGGTTAAACAAAAGAAAATATAGACTCATCACAGCAGCAGCTGTCAGTTAGGTGCCACCGCCTACATTACTGTAGAAGTTACGTAGTCGGCAAAAATCTGACAGCCTTCCATCTAAGCAGGCTCACAGAGTATTTCTGAAGCTGACATCGTTTTTAAAAAAAATTGTGTTTTATAACAACCTCCTGAATGTTCCCCATGTAGCAGTAGACTCGAACCAGGGAGAGGTAATCCTGAGCCAGGTCGTAGAAATGCAGAGCTGAATCCATGTCTGACTGACTTTCCAGGTACTGCGCCCACCACTTGTAGATGTTCCTGGATTGACAGGATCGTAGGCCTGATGTTAGTCTATGCACATGCTGTAAGTATTGAAAATTTGTTTCCATTTTTGACTCACTTGTCCTTCGTTTTGTGGACATAGAACTCTAACAATGACGGGTCATCCTGGAGCATTCTGGGCACTTCGACCCTGTGCGTGTCTGACTTTTCATAACTGTACACAAAAAAATAAATGAACAAAAGATCTGAAACACAGATACACATAAACAGTAGGCTACTTTATCACTGTCATATTATAGATTGGGTCTTACTAAGCCAGGGCCAGGTTCTTGTCGCCCATGGACTCGAGGTATTTGGCATAATTGTAGTAGGTGGTGCGCAGGTGGATGCGATCGTGAACTTCAGCTGTCTCCAAAGCTTGCTGCCATTGGCCAGAGGCCTGATAGAAAATGTTCAGCAGGTCATAGCGTTGACAGCTCTTGTACAACTTTTCTGCTTCTTCCTGTCAGAGGACAGGAAAAAATGATGGAAAGGACCAAAATCCTTTTGGTCAGGAAAGTCCCCCTGCTCTCTCTGTGGTGACATGCTTCAGCCCAAAGAGAGGATGTGTTATTTGTAGCCAAAGGATGTGGCCTCACTCTATGTTGGACAGCAGGTTATTTATAAAAGAAATATCATAAAGTAGGCGATGACCTTTGTTTAAATGCTTTGATTGATGCATTTTCTTCATCTAATAAATGTGTTGTGTCAATACATTCTATTCCGTTTTCAATTTACAAAGTTCAAGTGAAGAAGAAAGTCGGTGTAACTTTCAAAAACAAAAAAAATTAACCATGTTAACTTCTGTTGAAGTAGTCCACATCTTACCAGCATGCCCAGCTGAATGGCCAGCATTGCCACCTGGGCTTCTTGCTCAGGCTCCGTCTCGGCCTCCCGCAGTGCTTTCGCTGCCCTGGCATTCCCCATATTCCCAAGACACACACGTGCCACATCCAGTCGGCGGGTTTTCACACACATCCGTGCCATGTTTTCCCATACTGCCTTACTACAGAGAAAAGAGAATAAGCCGTTTGCAAGGGTGGTGAGTGGCTCGCTCATATGGGATTTTATCGTTAAACAACAGTGAAAACAGCAGAGCGTATGTACGTCCATCTGAAAAGATTTACTGTTAATACAACTCTGGTGAACAATAAGTGTTTATCTTCACTTGGTTGTTGTTTGCTTTCTGTATACATTGTGTATTTTTGTATATTTTTTAGGAAAGGTCTTAACATCCTTGAGACAAAACTGAATCAGATATTTCAATAATTCCGGGCTGAACTACCAACAGATGTAGAGCGACAAATACATCATATATGATAACATCAATTCTCCCTAACAAATGACTAAAGAATTAGGTGCCAGTTTAAGACTTTAAAATCAAATCAAGAGACATGCTTTTCATTCAGACATTCCTTTTTCCCCCGTTGGGGCCTTCTGACGTAAACTGACTCATGCCCCCCTTTATTTTAGCTCCGACTTCAATTTTAAGATTCCACAGCCATCTGGTCTCGATTTGCATCCACTCCCTCCTCCTTGCTTTTGCAGATACAGATGTGGGTTGTTTATTGAAAGTTAGGCAACAGGAAATACCCCAAATCTTTAGGGGCCCTGTCATAAGTGGGGCAATGGAGACCAAGAGAGATTTTAGAAAGCAAAGGCAGTAAATGTCAGCCAGGATTATACTCCGTATGCTCACAGAGCACACGGAGAACAGAAAAGCCCGCTGCCACCAAAGCGGCAAGATCTAGAGAACCAGAAAAGGAAAGACAAGAGAAGAAACAGGTCTACATTTGGCCCCTCTTCCCATCCTCTTTTCCTCTCAGGAAACACATCCTGTTGCTGGCAGACTGTGGCAGCCAGTATGTTTGTTGCACAGGAGAGAAGGGACGTTTGCAACCGCCCCCTGGTCTCCACACAAAAGAATACACCAAATAGTGACGTCCAACACGGGAGCTTTGGACACTCTCTCATACAAACACACGGACACGCGCACACACACACACACACACATTTAAAGTGATCATAAAGGGGGGAGATGTCCGTTCAAAGTTTGTTACAGCTGGGAACTGACGTTTCCAACGGTGGTGAATTGCAACTCCCCTATGTTTCAACTCTGACCTTGAGAATTTATAGCGAAGCTGTGAGCAAGACAGAGAGAGAGCAAGAGAGAGAGAGAGAGCGGGAGAGAGAGATGGGGGGAGCAAGACAGAAAGAAGCAGCAGGAGGTGGGCTGTAGGACTTCTTGTTCCAGTCAGGCATCAGGGGCATTACAACTCAAGACAGCCTTGGCTAGCCTTTGCAAAACCAACAACTGCTCTGCTCCTGGCAACACCACGTGAAGACTACCTTTTTCCATTTTTAAAAGCAATGTGCCACTGCTGAAGAGAGCACAAAAAAACTATCTGCTGTCTACACAAAGTGAAACAGCTGCAAGCACAGAAGTCAGACGAGTGCAAAAAGAAAGAAAGAACTGAAAAGGGAAAAGAGTGAAGCACAAAGACGAGAACAGGCGTCAAAAACACAAAAAGGACTGAGACACAACACTCAAGCTGCAGCCAGTCAGAGTCAGTGGAATGGACCACGGTGCCAGTTGGATCAATCCCCAGGTTCCCACACTGCTGTCTGAGGAAGAGGGCTGAGGAACGGCTGCAACAACTACCAACTCCTGAACGAGGATGAATGGAGATGTTCTTTAGGTAAACCTTAAAACAACGCTCTCTGCAACCCGCCTGTTTTAGCTGGAACAGCACGAGCAAACAGCTGGAGCAAGAGGAGGTTGTGGAGAGGAGTCAGGGGGCCCAGAGCACTTCGAGTGCCTCTGGCCCAGAGGAGACGAGTGGGCAGCTCAGTGAGGAAGAACAGGAGCCGCAGGGGGGACACCACGGAGGGGGAGAGGTGGCGGGGGCCGGGCGTCACATGGCCGTGCAGAGGCTGGTGGCGGCAGCGGTGGTGGTAGCCCTGCTGTCCCTGGTCCTAAACAATGTCGCAGCCTTCACCCCCAGCTGGGTTCTTCAGGCTCTGGAGGACGGACGTAAGCGGAACGTGGGACTGTGGAGAATGTGCCCTGGTGGAGCGGAGAAGGGCCGCGATGACATCCAAGCTGGAAACAGGATGCAAGCCACGCAGAGGCAGTGTGAAAGCCTCGGATGGGGCTCTGATTACGCAGGCTACCAAGAATCACGCAGCACTGTGAAATGTAAGTCCCAACTTAACATCAGATTTCAAGTTAAGCTGAAGTGTTACTTGGTTCTTCAGCCCCAAAAAAAAATGCCAGCAAACAAAAAGTGTCAAACATTTTAGTGCAATCTGTTGACTGATTGACACTTACTAGATGTGGTAACTTTGAAAAGAAACTAATACAAAACAGACCTGTGTGTGCACTGTTGGCTGTGGAATTTCAGAGTCAGGGCACCATCCGGTCAAATGGATACACATCAGTAAATTAACCCTAAGTCCTTAACTTTATCTAATGTGTCAAGAGTAAACACGAGGCCATGGCCGCCTGCCAGGAATCTGGAGAATTTGCTTTATTTAAATGTCCCTTTCTCTCTGTTTGCTGCCATGCTTCCCAGTAGTTTTTAGAATCTGGGTAAACATTAAAAGTGCTGTGACTGATTTATTCGATTTCCCAAATTAAACTCCATTGAGAAATCACCATTCAAGAACAAGGCTGGGAAGTGCTGAACTTTCATTGCCAAGCTTCACTGGGCACAATGGGTATTGCTGCTCAGTAATGCTAGACAAACAAGTACCTCACCATTCACAAAAACATCATCAAGATCACATCAGTACTTCTTTGATCCAACGATATACTAGATTCCTATTTTAGTTCCATGTCCCAATTAGATGTATACATATTTTAAAGCCCATAATAACCCTCATTAAGGTTTGTCAAATGTGTTCATGTCAAATGGTCACGTCGTATAGTGTGAGGTATAACACAACTTTCCTTCTTGTGTTTAAAGTGCAGTTCAACATGATGCGAGCCTGTAACCTAATAGCGACAGTGGCCCTGACTGCTGGTCAGCTGATCTTCCTTCTAGGCCTGGTGGAGCTGCCCTTCATCACACAAGAATCCCAGTGGTGGGAGGAGGCCATCGCTGCCCTCTTCCAGCTAGCTAGTGAGTACCAGCATGTTGCATGCTTACAAAGGCCCTGCATCTGAAAAGCCCTTTATATTCTGAGAGGGAGAAGCAAATCACATGCTCCACATCGGACTACTATGCCAAAGATTAGCCTCAAATACTACAGAGAAACACTGTTAAAAGTTGACCCTGAGCTATAGCCACGCACATTTTATCTTAGTCTATAGTTTAGCCATTTAGAGTAAAAAACCTGGTGTTTGCTATACAATGCGAAAAACTATATTTTCCTAAATGTAATATACAGAATTTTCAAATAGAAGTATCGCAACAAAAATGACATATTGCACATATATGGAAATAAAAAAATCCAGATTTTCTAGAGACAGGAAAACAATCACACCATTTTCTTATTTCTCAAACTTGTTTTTGAGAGAAAAAAAAAAGTATAGAATAATTAAAACAACCTAGGTGAGAAAATATGAACTGTTGGTAAATCATTAACTAAAAATTCACATCAGACAGTGGCAGAATGAATCATAATTAGATTGTGCGCTTACTGAATCACTAGCACCTATCCACCCCTTAAACCTGTGTGTGACATTGAATTGGCTGGCATGGTCGGTCCCAGAGCCCCTGTTGAGGAAGTGTGTTGTGTTGAGTTGTGCGCAATGTCGTCGTCGTTTTCGTTCAACTGCATGGTATTACAGCAGTGTGAGGGGGGTCTGCTCCGGGTCTAAATTTAGTCCTAGTCCAGAATTCATGGGCCAGAGCCTCAGCGAACCAGGGAGCGACTGTCGGGCGCCAGGATATCCCTGCTCAGGACGAGGAAATGTCTGTGACTACCTGTTATGCAAACCCCTGAGCTGAAGAAGGAAAAAGAGGGGAGGGGGAACCAACGGGAAAGACAGTTTTCAACAGGGACTGTGTGTTTGTGTGTTCAGTTTAGGGAGGGTGTGCATACATTATGTGCATTCGTGATTGTGTGTTTATGGTGTGCCTCGGTAGAGAAATGTCCTGCTCCATGCATGACAGCAGGGTGGGAATAGCCTCTGTCAAGATAAGCTGGCCTAGCTTTTATGTCTGTGTTTACAAAATGTCCAAGAGCAGCAGCAAAGAAAAGGCTTGTTTGTATCATTAGTGTGTTCAGTTAGTAATTGCAGCAGGGAAGATGACTTTGATCCCAACCCCATGATGGGCAAACTGAGACGCCTCCCATTTTACAGCATTTACCTATAATAGTGAAAATTCACTAAAGTGGAAAAAAAGCATTGCATATAAAGAATGTGTCAAATAAGATAATTATATTTGTAAAAAAAAAAAAAGAAAAAAAAGACATGGCTCATACACACCTATTTCCCCTAACACACACACAAAAGAAATCACTCACCGGGAAAAATGTGAAATTCCAGTTTTACTTTAGTTAGCATATATGGTCAAAATTTGATGTATCTTAGCAGATGGGATGTTCCCAACCTCACAATAAAACTCTATTCAGAATGTTATACATTGCACCTCACATGCTAGATCTGAGTAGTTTGAAGCATTAGTTCAATCAGTTTAATTAGTTCAATCATTAGATGCATTAGTTCAAGGAGAAATAGTTAATTACTTCAAAGTAGTTAAATGTGCTCTGAACAAACTCCCTCACTAGGTGGTAGAGACTGACAAAAGGATAATGATGAAGCAATGTAGAATAACTATTCCCAACATGTTTTTTTTATATTTTCCCTATAAAAATTGTATTGTTATGGGGCATTTATGCAGGCACTTGTTCCATTTGTGCCATGATATCTCAATATAAAATAAACAAGTACAGCTACAGCTGGATTTCTCCCTTCAAAGAAAAGTAATTTTGATCTGTCCTTTGTATATCTGTCCAAATTTAATAAGAATTTAATCAGTTCTTCTTGTGATGTTTCAGTTTGGGTGGTGACTGGTGACATATAGGTTATTACAATGACTGTGGTATGCCGGCTGGAATCCTTAAAGGGAAAAAAAGCCTGAAAAATACTCGAATAATACTTTTTGTTTAGGAAATCCTCAATTAGATAAAAGGGACTTAAATATTCTGAATTGCACTGGCCACTTCTTTTCAGCAGTCCATTCCATTTGGCCCTCCCCCCGTGTGTTAGTGAATGGGCTACAGTTCTGAATGAATGGAAATATCTTTGCCCAACACTTTCTTTCTCTGGAAAGTTTTTTTGTTTCAGACGTGCCAAAAATGCCCTGGCATTGTCTTTCAAGTGTGAAAGTGTTGAATAACAAAGTTAGGCTCCACAGCTAATCTAACGTAGCTATGACCACTCAGTGACACCTAAGCATCTGGGTAAGACTTAAAGAAAAGTAGCAGCCTTTACACCTCTACATACAACGCTGGCGTCTGCATACACACAGATGTCAGCACTGCAGATCTTTGGTCTCCGATGAAGTGCATCATTTGTTTTGATACTGTGGCACTGCACGGCCCAGTTCAGACTACCCAGATAGTTGAAGATAAGCAAATAATTAATTTTAGCTCATTTATACCACTTGAAAATAAGCCACAACACCACAAAGTCTATGAAAAATTGAATAGACAATAAGATTTATAAAAACAAGCCATAACATAGACATTATTACAATGTCAATGTCATATGTCCAGCAAATTTATTAACCTCGAAGCTCCGGGTGTGGCAAGGAGGGAAGGAAGGAAGGAAGGATGGAAAGGGGAACAAGGGGAAGGAAGTTTGAGAGATAAGTGGATGCCAAAAGAGAGGTTCACATAGCCCGAACTGACTGGAACATGGACAGGAGATTATTCATTATGTCGAATAAGGAGCCAGACAGGTTAAACATAAGCAGATTAAGCAAACAGTTGCATTCTTATGTATACACACAGAAGTAGACACGCAATGATATAAAGACACAATCACCAACATCCTCACTTAAAACAATACCGGCCACCTAACTATGGAAGTACAGAGAGAAATATAAATTAACTCCCCGGACCAGTGCTACTGACTGCTTCAGGAAACGTACTGAATCATATCCTAAAGCCCCAACATCCCTATTTCCAGTCATTATTTTTGGTCTCTGTATTTATACCTCTGTGGATAGGGTTTGCTTTCAGACATCTATCATTGTTTAACAATGGAATTGCCCCTGACCACACCTGAAAGCACTGATTTAGAGCTGAAATGAATACCTAAAAAGTGTTGCTTTCATGGCTTTCTCTATCGGCAAGGAGGAAAGCTGCAGGCTTGTGTGTCCCTAAATAATTGATAAAAGAAAGTAAAGAACAAACAAACAGCTTTAAATGGAAGGGTCAGGCTTTCGAGCTTTGTATTCAAACATAAGTTCCTCCTTGCGTGACATACACTTCTGCGAATCAAAGAAATGGGGAGATAAAACATATCAAAGGCTTTACTGAGCATATATTCTTTGCTGTGATATTTTTATGCTTTTGAAGACAATAATCAAAGATCTTAGAAGTCTTTCCGTAGAGGAAACAGACCTCCTAATTCAAAGGCCCCACACAGAGCTTGAGGTCCACACTGAAAGACAGGACAACCAGGATGCATGTCTACTCAGGAGTGAGGGGAATTTTTAAAAGGCCATCAGGACACTAAGGGAAACTCTGCTTAAAAGAACTTACAATTTACTCATTTTCAGAATCTCCAAGTAAAAGAAATAAACATGTCTACGTTTACAGAAATGGAAACATTCAATAGTCGGGGAAGAATACAATTAAACACAAATAAAAAAAAAGATGCTTCATTCTTTTCTGTGAAAAGTTTTTGCCTGCTCTAGTTGTGTCCTTAGATGTGGACTAATCATCTAAGAACTTGCCGGGACAATACTTACAACTGCAGCAAATTTATTTGAGACATTTCTGAAATTGTGTGCTGAAACTATTAAACACTTTCCCCTTACGATTGACAATGATAGATACAATCTTGTATTATCCTGATGGATATTTTCTTTCTTTGTGAATCGATGTAGGCTTTGTGCTCGTGATTGGACTCGTGACCTTCTACAGGATCGGGCCCTACACACACCTTTCCTATTCCTGCTACATGGACATAGCAGCTTGCCTTCTGGCCACGCTGGCCGCAGCCATGCTCATCTGGAACATTTTACACCGACGAGATGACTGCCTCGCGCCTCCACTCATCATCATCAGTCCACGGCTGGCATCGCCCCTTTACCCACGACTAGACAACGACTACGTGGAGTCGCCTTGCTGAACTATGTGACCTAACTCAAAGAAAAAGCCAACAATGACTGATCGCACAAGGGACCGGCCTGTCATTGGCAACTGTGTGTGTGTCCCGTGACTCTCAGAAGAATGGGGCACTCCTATGGCTCCACAGTGGCTGAAGGAATACATGCCATATATTTCCTCCTTGTTCAATATATCAGACTTACTTTGCTGCTTAAAGCACAAGAATCACCTATTCTAAGATAATAAATAAATAAATAAATATATATATATTAAAATAAATATATAAAGCAGTCCATAAGTTCCAAACATATCAACTGTATGAATGATGATTTATGTATTTTACACTAATTGGTGGCTAGAATGGAATTTGGATGAGCACTGTCATTCAGAAAGATTACCATCTAAATGAAGAGATCAAGCTGGAACTTGACAGATGTTATCAAACCTGCTCTTATGGTGCAGTGCCCTGGACATTCACAATTTGGAATTAAGGGAATTAAAACACCATATTACCTCATATTAGTCTCCATCTTTTAAAGATTTTTTGAAATTCATATTAATATAGATGATATCTGTTGCAAGGAAAAAGAGGGAGAATAGGTAAAGTTCACAGGCTTTTGAGTGTGCTAACCCAAATCAATAATATTTCACACACAGCTACAGAGCTGGCCATTGTACCAGAGATCCTTCAAGAAATACAGGCAAATAATAATAAACAATCATAATTAACCAAACTTTGAAGTCGTGTGGATTTTTCAGAATGTCTTTTGTTGACGGGGGAAAAACTATTTAAGAGGCACAGCAGTTTGAAATGGAATTAATGTTACACTGCATAAATCAATTTTTCATGATGCTTTTGCTATGAAACTTCTTGTTTGTTGTACATAATATATTCTTAAATGAATATAATGGGAACTATTTCACAGCGCTATCATTTTGAGTGGCATATTTTAATCGTATCACGGTTCTGCAAAGAACTCCAAGCTATGGGTGGGTTTCCAACAATATCGGAAAAAGAGGCACATAATTTAGCATTATTCAAAATCAATAAATGTATCTTTTAATACTGAAACAGCTGCTGTTGTTTGGTGTCAATAGACCTGATATAAGAGAGATAATACATTATAATATGTTAAGAGTGGAGCTATTGGACTTCGAGGAGGTCCAAAATAACTGAAATCTTACTCTACTCTTACTGTCACTGAAATCAGAAGGATTTTAGCAAACTCTGGAGAATGGAGACTGGTGACAGTAAAAAAAAATAAAAAAAAAGTCCTATAACCATTTCACAGAAATATATATATATATATATATTTCACTGTGGCCTCTATATAAGTATAGAGGCCACAGAAACATTCATTCCATCACTGCCACATCAAAACATATTGAACATTTAAAAAAGGAAAATAGACCTCTTTTAAATGTCTCCAGGGTCACCCGAACCTTTGAAAGCTGATATTTGCTTGTCACCGATAAAGAAGGAACCTTGGACAAACAAGTTTAAATATTTACTTGGTTCGTAATTTTTTCTTTTAAATAATCTTTTGAGAAAAAATAATCCACTTTATGGTTTTGGATGTTTTCGATGTCCGGCTTCAGGATCCTGACTGACGGCTCAGATAATAGGTAAAATAGTGCTAAATCAATTAAATCTTTGTTCAATTTAAAAAATCTACACCCAGTCAATTCTATTTTAAGTTTCTTGGTGGTAAATGTTAAGGAGGGAGATCTATCTAAAGCAAACTGTAATTCAATATCAGTGCCATGCTGAATAAAGCTCCCAGGTGGTAATCGTCCAACAGTCATGCAGCCTTTGTAATTAAGATGATTAATCATTAATGACCTCTTTCTTTTTTTTTACTTAACAATAGCTGCTGCGGTTGTAAATCTCCCCCTATTAAAAATACACTGATGCATTATATCCATAATTTTATCCATGAGTTAAGATTAACAGCATAAAGTAGATGTGGAACAAAAAATGTTTTACATGCAGCACAACAGGACATTGTAAAATAGGTTTGGCTGTTTACTGATGGATAAATTCAGACACTGCTATAATAAGAAGAGTTCTGTTTAACATCAGTGGTAAAACAAATGGCCCCACTGTATCCTGTGTCATTACATCCATATTAACTACAGTTCAAACTGTACTGATTACTTTTGGGAAAGGTATCAGTAACCTTGAAGATTGTCAGTTGAGAGGAAATCTAACAGCTTGAGTCAATCAATTTGGTTTCTTCAATATGAAAAATGACTTAATCCAGTGCGGTAAGGATCCCAAGCATTTCGGGTCACATCATACCGATCTTTGTCAGGATTTTTCCTTTGGTGTTTTAAATAAAACGAAAGTAACATTATTTTGCCAAAATAATTGCAACATATCATGTCCTGGATTTAGAAATTGCTCACACAAAAAAAAAAAAAAGAAATTGCTCACACAGACATTCATACAAGGTTTCCTATACTATAAAATCGCACAATGATGAGCACATCGGGCTTTCACTGATAATTTCGAGACCTGACAGGGCTCAGGACTAAACTGCCAATGACACAAGCAAATAACAATACACCTGGTAAGCCTGGATAAAAAGCTACAGTCAGACTTCAATATGAGAAATTCTACAGATTTGTTGATTCAAAGATCTCCTGCTCAGAGATAGGTCCCTGAAGATACAGGTTATTTCTGCAGGAAATGCACACTCCTGTGGGTGGAGAAATGCGGGAATCGAACACAATACTGATCTTAGAAAAAGAAAAGAGAACAGACGTAGCTATAAAAATAGCCCTCAATGAGGAACTTAGTAAAGCTGTCATCAGGCCTATTAAAACCTTTGAAATATCCGCCCCGTGGATTATGCTTCTCTTCCACTTGTTTGTTTTTATGCCATTTTTCCCATTTGCGTAATGTTTGTACGTGTGAAAAGGAACGAAACAGAACGAGTGCCATGAATCACGTATCATCCTGAAGATATTATCAGATCACTGAAAAGCCCAAATGCATTTCTCTACGCTGACACACTGAAACACACAGAGAGCTCATTTCCATGACTAAGCACACATACCGTTGTACTGAATGTATTTTAACTTAGCAAGAAATTAAATTAGTCATTTAGGGACTAAACTGGCTGGGGAATCACCTGTAAGTGTGTATGTATGTGTGTGTGTTTGTGTGTGTGTGTGATTCAAAACGTGTTTAGAAAAGTACATCCCCCCAGAACACACCCGCACACCAAGAAAAACAGACGCATATACACACTCAAAAGTTCCTTCCTCTAAACACGTATACAATGAAAGTTCTCTATTATGTCCTGTGTTTTAAAATCTGTTTCAAATTCCTAAACAAAACCAAAGAAATTGAGTTTTTGGTGGATCTAATTAGACCATTTCATTGTTGTAAAATATATAAATCTGATTTGTAATCTTCTTATTGCTTAGATAAAAAATTAATAGGCTGTAACTTTTTAAATGTTGAATAAATAAAGTTTTTTTTTAAAACCTACTGTGGTACTTTGACTTAATAAATAGAGGGCATGAGATAAATGAGAAGAAAAAGCACGCTCAACTTTATATACAAGTTTTGAAAGAAAGGAACTTGTTACAGCTCTCCAACAGCAACTAAAGTGGAACATTTTGGGAGAAGTCAAGGCTGTGGTAACAATGCCACCTTTTGTGTGTGCCGCCTATCCTTTGATAAAGAGCCCCTGTAGAAAAGACTAAAGAGGACGTGATGACAGTGAGAGGACGAGATTCAACAGCCGAGTTCCTTCTGAGTATACAAATACGCATGTCGCCTTTTGTTGCAAATGTGACTCGGCCCACGTATGCTTTTGTGATTTCACCACCCTGACACCCTACCTTTTGATGAGCTTGATAGACTTAAAGGCTTCATCCATGTCACCAATGGTCAGATAGAAGCTGAAGTTGAGCATGGCATCACGAGTGGACTTCTCACAATTCTCCAGCCCCACAAAGTCTCTAAGAGCTCTTCTGGACACCATATGGTGGAACTGGCCCGGGTCCCCTGTTGCTGGCTGGGTCTGATTTGATGATGCCTCGGTTGAGCCTGGATCTTTCTCACCCGGCTATGGAAGGGAGACCAGGGCAGAAGACTTTGGTTTAAGACAAGTAATCATGTACTTACTGTATATGCTTACTTATTACAATGATAATAATCATGATACTATACAAGATACACCTCATGGATGCACTGGGACGCATCATCAGTGATGTATCCTGGGGTCATTGGGCGTTTCGGGTCTCGCAACATCATACACCCTCACCCAGGCGACCCAGCCGGGGGTGATCAGGCCCCGACTTGCGTCCCAGTAGCTGCCCACGGATCTGCCCTCCTTATCCAAAGCCACCTAGTGGCCTTTTCAGCGGCTTCACTTGCGGATTTGATGGCCCTCTTCTTAGACGCTCCTACGATGCCCAGGCGGCTGAGGACCTTGCACAGGGACCTCCCTGCAAAACCCCTGCAGCCTACCTCTATAGGCTCATAGAATGTCTTCCAGCCTGCCCCCCTGCACTCCTCCACCAGTTCCTGGTATTTAGCCCTCTTCCTCTCATTGGCTTCCTCGATGTTTTCTTCCCAGGGCACTGTCAGTTCCAGTATGATCAGATGTTTTGAAGACTGAGAGGTCATGATCATATCTGGGCGGAGGGTTGTTGTTGCGATGTGCTGGGGGAACCTTAGTTGCTTACCCAGGTCGACCTGCAGCTGCCAGTCAGATGCTGTGTAGAGCAGGCCTGTTGTAGCCCGTTGGTTTGCTCTGGGTTTTTCTCCAGCTCTGACAAAAGAGATTGCCTTCTTTGGAGCCTGTTGTTTGTTGCTGGAGTTGATGGCTGAGGCTACGCTCTCAGCGACTGCCTTGAGCACCTGGTCATGGCGCCAGCGATAGCGACCATCAGCCAGAGCCTTCGGGCAGCCGCTAAGGAGGTGTTCTAAAGAGCCTCTACCAGAGCATAGCGGGCAGGAAGGGGTCTCACTTTTTCCCCACACATGGAGGTTTGCTGGGCTTGGCAGGGCGTCGTAGACAGCCTGGACCAAGAAGCGAACCCGCTGGAAATCTGGCTGCAAGATGTTTGTCCAGGTAATCCTTCGCTGTAAAGCGCTCTCCCACCTTGTCCAAGCCCCCTGTTGCCGTAGTCCTACTGCCCTACTCACACGCTCTTCCTCCACACCTGCTCTGACTTCCTCCTGGATCAGGTGGTGCCTTTCCTTCCCACGTGACTGGCTTATGAGGGTCTTTGGGAAGTATCCCAGGCCTGCTCTGCCTGTTGCCACAGTCCCCACTAGTGCCTTCTGTCGAAGGCGCGACTCTGCCAGGTCCAACGCTTCCCTGGCCTTCCACTTCCTTCCTGTTCTCACCTCTATGCCAGCTGCTGAAACTTTGCCGTCCTTCGAGTCCCTGTACTGCAGCGCTTCTCTGGTGCGTGCCACCATGAATTCTTCTGTGAGGCCACTGAGAGGAAGCTGCAGGATGTTACTCGTCCCATACAGGGCAGCGCTGGTGAGGCTGCGAGGAAGTCCCAGCCACTTTCGAAGAAAGCTGCTGATTTTCCTCTCGAGGGACTCCACTGCTGTCATTGGGACTGCATAAATCAGCAGAGGCCAGAGGATGCGGGGCAGGATTGAGTGCTGGTAGATCCAGGCTTTAAACCTACCGGGTAGGCCAGACTTGTCTACCTTGGTAAGCCAGGCTCCAAGTTCCAAGCTGGCCTTCTGGATGGCTACTGAGTCCTTCAGGGTGGAGTCGAAGAGTTTCCCCAAGCTCTTCACGGGTTGCTCTGTGATGGTTGGGATGACAGTTCCTGAGATGGAGAACCGGAACTTGTCCATCACCTTCCCCTTCTTCAGGACCATGGATCTTGACTTGGAGGGCTTAAAACTCATCCTTGCCCAGGAGATAAGCTTTTCGAGGCCATGCAGGATCCACCTGCACCCTGGGACTGACGCAGTCGTTACGGTCAGGTCATCCATGTAGGCTCTGATGGGAGGCTGTCGCACACCTGACTTGGTCAGGGGCCCTCTACATTCCACCTCAGCTGACTTTGCCACCATGTTCATGGCTAAAGAGAAGAGGACAACAGAGATGGTGCAGCCTGTAATTATCCCCTTCCCAATACGATGCCAGTCCGAAGTCTCTGACCCAGAAGTAACTCTCATCCTGAAATCATTGTAGTAATCCAGGATCAGGTCCTTGATCTTACTGGGAACATGGTGGAGGTGGAGAGCAAGCTCAACCAACTTGTGTGGTATGGACCCATAGGCGTTGGCCAGGTCCAACCACAACACAGCTAGGTCGCCTTTGTTCTCATGGGCCTCCCTGATGAGTTGTGTGACGACCCCAGTGTGTTCCAAGCAGCCAGGAGTCGAGATCCCTCCCTTCTGTACAGATGGGTCAATGTAGCTGTTCTTGAGGAGGAACTCTGTCAGTCTTCTTGAGACGATGCTGAAGAACACCTTCCCTTCCACGCTCAACAGTGAGATGGATCTAAACTGACTGATGTCTTGTGAGTTCTCCTCTTTGGGGATCCAAACTCCTTCAGCATGCCTCCACTGGTTGGCCACTTTTCCCCTTCTCCAGATCACCTTCATGATCCTCCACAGGTGCCGGAGAATCCCTGGGCAGCGCTTGTAGACCAGGTAAGGGGTTCCACTGGGGCCTGGTGCTGATGCAGAGCGGGCTGCCTTGACGACCTCCTCAACGTCCTTTAGGCTTGGCTCCTTCAGGTTGAACTCCGTTGTAGGGGGATCTGGGCTGATGAGAGCTTTGTTAGGGTCCAGTTCCTGGTCTCTCAACGGATCACTCACAGTGTCCTGGAGGAACTGATTTACTTGCTCTATGGAACACTCAAGCCGGCCACTGCGCTTGTCCCCAAGGAGTCGTTTGGTAAAGCCAAAGGGATTGGCGATGAAAGCTGCTCGCTTCCTTGCCCTCTCTCTACCCCTTCTCCGATGCCACTCTGCTCTGCGAAGCGTCATCAGCTTCTTGCGCAGGATGTTCTTCAGTTCCGCCAAGGGTTGTTTCTCCTCCTCCGTAGCAGCTTTGTACTGCTTCTTCAGGGTGCGAAGCTCCTGGCGAAGATGGTGTATCCGGGTGGCTCTGCGGCTCATTGTGTAGGGAGTGGGTTTCGATTTTCCTTTGTCCACCTGTCCAAATCTTTCCCGGGCGTAGCTGACAATGACAGTGGTCATCGATGTAAGGCGGCTGTCCACGTCTCCTTTGGCTGTGGCCTGGATGATGTTGGACACATCCTCATCAAACTGCTGCCACTCGCTCCTCCTGCTGGCTGGGGGCCACTTAATCCGCTGCTGTGGAATTACTCTGCTAGGGTTGAGAGTCTGAGGTACGTGGAGGGACTGGGCTCTGTGGGTTGCCTCCTGGCCGGGCTCCTCCTGCGTCTCACCAGGTACAAGACCTGAGCGTTGTACCTCATTGTCTCTGTCCAGGCATTTCATTTTAGCCTGATGGATCTTCAGGCCTCGGTGGTTCTTGCACAGCTTTCCGCAAATGCATGTCACATTCGTCGTTTGTCCGTTTGCCTGGGTCATCACCGTGTGGTCCGTCCGGTTGGAGATCTCATCCTCCCCCCCTCTCGGGATCTCCTGGGGGTATCTTACTGTAGGGCTTTCCGTAGCTTGATTTGGGTTCTCTCTCGCGAAAGATACAGGTTGGGATGCTACCCCAACCTGCCCCGAGTGCCGTCTTTCCGTGCTGTCAACTGTCTCTCCAGTACAGAGTACAGAGATACAGGTTTTACAATATAAAACACCAAAGAAAGCGAAGAAGAAAGGGAATGGGTGGGTGGATAAACACAATGCAACATAGCATCAAGTAACAAATAGTTTACCAAAGTTTTAGGAACAGACACAGACTGAGCTCTACATATGTACTGATGCACAACACAGCTGCTGCAATACGGGGTCAATGACACCAGCTTTCTGAACAAATAGTGGGGTCCAGACACTTACTTCAGGTCGAAAGACACCACCTTTCCGAAATAACAGCTATGGTGTTTCAGACCAAGCACAGAGTTTTGAATAAGAGTGATGACAGCAGTAACATTTCAGAACTGATGTCTTACATAAAGAACCTCACAACATTTTACAGCTACCCAACGACTTTCCATGATGAGCCTCAAATGCCCATCTTAAAAAGACAAGGAAAACAGATTGATCTTTGTCCTCACCTTGCAGCTGAAATAATAGTAGGGCACATCTAGAGCAAGGAGGGCCTGCAGGCCTGTGGGTTTAGTGTAGCAATCCTGTAGGAGGAGTCCATTCTCCTGTGTACAGAAGAGTGTCACCACTGACACATCCACCTGAGAGAAAAGAAAGTATCAGGATGTATCACCTTTGATCAAATTCAGAAAATTAGGAAATTAGGGGGCAAAAAACTTAAAACAGCAACCTTAATCTTAATTTAATGAATATTTACACTGATCAACCTCAAGTAAAACAGTGTTAAGGGAGGGATTTACCGAATCCAAAGAGCTATTTGAAGAGGAGTCGGAGCTAATGGGCACTGTCTCACAAACAAAAAGGCGGGGTTCACTCTCATCCCAGAAATGAGACATAGGACATCGTCCACTGAATTCTGTCCCCTGAAACTGCAGTCTGGAAACAAAACAAATGTGCTCTAGTGAATGTGGCTAACAAAAAACAATAATTCAAAACAGCACATTCTCTGAAAGAGCACACTTCAGACTATCAAAATCCATGTTAGTTACTTCTCATTTTCTTCTGGCTGCGACACCCCAGTGGATGGCCTGCCGATGAAGAAGTCAAAGTGTATCACAGTGTCCATCTCAATGTCGTAAAAGTACACTTTATGATCAGGTCGTCCATTTACCTAAGATGAAAGTGTTACGTTCAGCTTAGCTGAAAAATTATGAAGAATCACCATCAACTTTGGCCACAACAATTTTGCAAAAGAAAGTGTTACTGTACTATATGCAGTCCGTTTACCTGAGAGATTAGAATGCTGACTTGGCTGCCATTGGCATTACACTTAACTGACCTCAAAGCTCCCAGATTGGCAATATGGTCAGATACGTTTTTAGCATTGCAGTGAGCTTTGGCATCCCTTATAGTGACAGAAAATATAAACAAAGACATAGAGATAAAGCACATAAAGCGAGCATTCCTTTTAATACAGAACTGTGATCTGATAAACTGTACCTTCTAGACAGGTCAAAAACTCTAATGTGAGCCGTGTCTGTACCCACTACCAGGTAAGACTGGCACACACTAAGCAGCACGGGGTTTCCCTCCGACTTGGAGAAAGTTAAGAGCTGCTTTACTGTGCCCTGAGGAGAGAGGTGGGAAAGCATGGCTAAACAAGAATGTGTTTGTGTTTTACTGGTAAAATGAAACAAATTCATCATTAAAGATTGAATACTGAGCTCCAAGTTTAAAAAAATAAATAAATAAACAGACCTGTGGTGTACGGATTTGTACCCTGTTCGGTTCGACCGTATAGAGGTTCTCACCGTGTACAGCTACTACATGGGAATCACAAGGAAATGATCCTGGAAAGACGGAGACAGGGAATGAAGGGGCAGCCAGTGAGGAATACAATATACAATAATATTAAAGAAAGCAGAAACTCTTCAGAATTTAAGACACATAAAATCAAGAAGTAGCTGCTGTTTGTATTGCTCAGTGAGTGTGGCTATATAATACCTGTATTGCGGGGCACTGTTCCTGAAAGCTCATACACGGTGACTACTTTCCCATTCCAGACTGTCACAGTGTCCTGTGGTTTTGACAAAACGAATCGTGTTAGCACGACTTCAAAAATTCAATTAACGTTTGTCTGTCTGAGCAAGAAATGGGCATATGTGCCCTTACCTTTGTAACACACACTCCTTTGATATGCATATCAGACTGGAGAGCAAGGGGCGCCCCTGTGGTGAAGTGAGTGATGCTGAGCTGGGTGGGCGTAAGCTGCACTGCTGCCACCTGCTGACTGAAGTGAGCTGACATCACATGCTCGCAGAGGATCAAGGCTGTCTTTGAATTGTTTGCTGCCAAGAGATTCTGGCTGGAGCCCCACTGAAATGAAAAGCCAGCCTGAACCTTCTGAATGAACTACCACGTGCATAATGATGGGAGTTACTATGTGGGGAAAAGTTAATCGTTAAGCTGAAACATTAGTCACACATTACTTGAAGCTGAGTGATATTTCCCTCTATTTCCGTGGGTGTCTGTAGTTTCCACAGGGCTTTGGTGTCTGCCCTGTTGCTGTTTGGCTGCACCACCATCTTCCACATTGCTATCCGCCCACTGGAGGTTCCAGCAGCCAGAATTTCTAGGAAATGCAATGTTTTTTTAAGATATGCAAACTTAAAAAACAGCAGTAAAAAAAAAAGTATCTTAAATTTTTTGCACCATGTAACAAATGCCTCTTTACCTTTTGCTGGGCAGTATGAAACACAGTTGATCATCTCCCCCTTCTCAAACCCCAGCCGCTCGTCAAGAGACAAGATGTAGTTGTCATCTCTTTCCAGGTCCCACAGCCTGAAAAATCAAAGAGAAATTGTACAAAGTAAAAATCAACACGTGCAGTGTGTACAGAGATATGTGAAAGCTGACCTGATGACTTGTTCTCCTGTCGCAGTTATGAGGAGGCTGTTCACCGTCCAGACGATGTCCACACTCTGTCCATACTGGCTGCTCAACTTAACCTGCCATTAAAAGAATGTTCATCAACTAACCAAGTCTTCTCGCTCTAATTGCGATATCAACTGCCCACTCTATGCCAATTTTATTGGTTCAGTTCAATGGACAGGACATTATCATGAATATGTCTAAGGGATGAAAGATACTTTTCAAAAGAATTAGAAGAAGAAGCTTTTGTTGTCATTGAACCAGCGTCCCAGTACAACAAAATTTCATTTCAGTACCACCCTTGCAAATTCGGGAAGACTGAGGCACATCCAACTGAGGGGCATCTATTTTCAATTCTAATAAAAGTTTTTACATCTGCATCAACATGTGATACGCCCTTTCCATAACTCCATCTTTCCACCATGCTTCAACAGGTAATCAGTACTCAACATACTTTAATAATGGCTGTTCATTTGGACTTTTCACTATTAGACTTCTTTCAGTTTAGCTTTATTGTAAAGTATACATGTACAGAACCTAGTGGAGAATAAATTCCCTTAAAAAAATCTATAAACACAATTTTCCCTTCATTTTAATATTAAAATACCTTCATATACTCGTGTGCTCCACCTTCGGGTCCAAGTGTGTACTGTGACAGCATTAGAGTGTCTGTGATCACTGCGAGAGTCTCTCTCTTCTCGAGGTAAAACAGCTTCCTGATAGAGCTTTCGACACTAAGGATCGTGTTTGTCTTACAGTGTTCATCCACACTGTGGACTTTACCTGTTCAAAAACAGACATTTTAATTAAAAGAAAGGCGTGGCTTAAAAATGTCAATGTAGGAACAACGGGATAAACTTACCATCGGCAGTGCTAACATAGAATGCAAGCCCTTCCTGAGGCCCCATCTTCAGAGGGGCGCCCTTCCAGCTGAACATGTCCAGAGCTCTTTCATCTCCACTCACTGATGCCCGAGCCAGCTTTGCTACATCACTTTAAAGAGAGGAAGAGCCAAACATAAGCAACTCAGAGTTCCCAATAAAAGCAAGTGATGGGCATTGGAAACCTGTAACAAATTTGGACCCACTATGTGGAACTAAATCACTGGAAAAAAGACACACAATGTTGTGACAACACAGGTGCTAGAGATCTCATTGGAATTTGTGCGTGACTTCTTCATTTGTAATAACAAAGTAGCAAACCTGTCAATCACACAGGCGCTAAAAGAGACAGCACAAGAGTAGAAGAGGAAATTGAAAAAAGATAACGGAACTTCATATAATGTTGCCATAAATATACTCCAATCTTTTCAGTCTGCACAAAGAGCTATTGTAGAGGATTCAGAAGAGGAGTTGCAGAGGCATAGCCTTTCACTTACATCCCAGGTGAGGTAGGTTTGAAGATGCAGCAAGTTAGAGCTTTGTTGTATTCATGTTTTACAAGATGGTTTCCTTGAAGTCTCCCTCTGGCATCTAATTTCCAAACTGCTAGAACTCCTGTCTGTCAATGACAATACACTATGTTTACTAAAACAAAAATGGAGTTAACTTTTTAAGTTGAGCAAAGTACACAAAATGATGATAATAACGCTATTGAACAACTATTACCTATAAAAAGGTGTGTTTTGGAAATGTATCAGTTTCTGTTCATAGCTGCAGGAAATCAACATACCTGATCACCGGTAACCAAGCGGCTACCAAAACTGCTCCACTCGAGCAGTGTGATGCTGGCTGTATGCACACTGGGCAGTACTGTTTGATCTCCAGACGGGTGTGTCAACAGCACTACTTCTCCATTCTCCCAGCCCTGTGCCAATACAGCCTTAGATGGATGCCAGCGTAGCACAGTGGGCTGGTGAGGACGTTCTGCATGACAGTTTTCCACATATTCCCCCTAAAAGCAGACAGGGGTGTTATCAGCATGCACGATTTGATGTGGAGAATATTAGAAAACTGAGCAGTGTCCTTTCTCGTGCTTACCTGTTGTAAGTAGAGGTCTACATTGCCTCCAGCTGCACGGCTGCTTGAGGCCACAGCCAGTATGGGAATGGTGGAGTGCCATGCCAATGTGATCGGCACATCAACATTCTCGGGGGCGTCCACGCGGTGGTCAAAATACACCGCCATGTCTCAGGTGTGGGTCTGCAAATTGATGACACAAACATAAACAGGGCATGAGAGTTGTGTAGAACAAAGATACATTATTTAATTCCATTGGTGTATGCTTCTTTGCATGCAATGCTTTAAAAGGCTGTTACGCTTGCTTAGCTCTTTGGGTTATACATGTTCTAAAAGGTCGTTAATCACAAGTAAACTCCAAAACAAATCCAACCCACAATGTTGTTTATTTGCTTTATTAAATCCATGACTAGGCTGGTTGTCAATGGATGCAGAAAGGTTTAAACAACACCATACATTTACAATGACAGTTACCACAATCAGTTGTCAGTAACCTTCGTAAGGTTATGTGAAGAAAGGCTAACCCTATTTAGCTTCAACTAGCTATTAGCATCAGCAACGCTAGTCAAAGTTAGCATTAATGGATTGCCGTCGAAGCATAGAACTGTGAAAACATTTGTCAAGTTTTAGGAAAATTACCTCGGTGTCACTCTGTTTAAATCGACGACAGCCCTACTGAAAACAGCCCCGAGAGAGTGTGTGGGCATGGACTGTTATTGTCAACCGCTGTTGTCTAGTCTCCTGTGTGAGTAAAAAAGCGTCCCTCTCAGTTGCCCATGACAACCTGGCAGGCGAGATGGGCGGAGCTACGGAAAGCACGAGACCCCATCTGACTGACGGCCGAAGGAAACGCGAAAACGACACCAAGCCAATTTCTTCTTAATGATTTGTCAAGTCGAATCAAACGTCGAGTCTTTATTTTTAAGCTGATGAGACAATACTGGAAGTCTATAAATCTCTATATATCAAAAAGTTTTGGGGAACAAACTCATATTTCTATTTATCTGCATCTTACCTAACTGACAATAAGATTATTCACAAAGAAAACGAAATATTATTCTAATAATATATATATATATAGATATCCATGTTAAATATTTACAGCGAAGCCACAGGTTTTTACATCTCCAATTATTTTTATTGCCTATTTAATGTTTGTTTAGAGGTACACATATTTTAAGTTGAGGTGGATTAGTTTTTCAGAATAGCTTCATGTTTTAGAACGACGTCAGGTTTGAATCTATGAGAAACCAACTGAATGCCATTGTTTCGGAACAAACGGATGCATGTTCCTGTGACAGTGACCGCAGGAAACAGTAGTAGTAGCATTTCCTTTCCTTTTTAAAAAAAATATAGAAGTACCTATACAGGAAACATGTTTAAAAAGAACATCCTGGATGCTTAATTTCTAAACCTTACCAAAAATAGGTGTTTAGGACAAAAGTATCCATTCATTGTTTATTCTCTCAATAATTTCGGTGATGAAATTTTACAGCAAACAAATATAAAAATGTTCATTTATACAAAATCATAAATATACAAAACTTTCTTTTCTCTGCTTTGCTGAATGCCCCAGGATCTTTTTTTTTTTTTTTTAAAGAGGAGGGGGGGATTCTGGGATTCTGAAACACCTGCAAAAGAAGCTCTTGAGCCAAAAGGACATCCTTCAGTGAATCATCAGGATTATCCGTATCCGGCAGGATGGCCCCCCGTACCACCAAACACAGGGACATGAGTACCACCAACACGGCACCGTACCGCCTATGACGTCAAATGAGTGGGTGGAAGTACAAATATCTTCCTCCACACGTATTTTTAAACTTAATTCGCTGAGAGTTGTTGTTCTGATCAAGATTCCAGACTTAATGCCTGCGGATCTTGGAGCTGTTTTTTCAAAGTCCGCTCCAGCAGCATCAAGCTCTGCATGGCTAAATTCCTGCAATCTGCATGGGGGTCTCCTTCAGCCACATCTGTGGACAGTAACAAAAGAAAAAGGATTATAAACAACTTTCAACTGGGATGAGAAACAACAACATGTGACTTCCCCTTGCACAATTCAGATTTTTAAAATAAGGTGGGTGTGTCTTTGAGTTGGTGTCATTCAGCTTGCTGTTACTGGAAATTAAAAACTAATTCTATCCTCTAAAAAAAAAAAAAAAAAAAATCTGCTGAGCCACTTGTGTCACAGATAGGCTGGTAGTACAGGACATCCTGGTTCCAATTCCCAGAAATGCTCGGTCCAACTGTAAAGGAGTGCGTTGTGTGTGTTTGTGCAGGAATAAATGTGCGTTTGTGATCTGTGGGATGCCACCAACAGAATTCCATTATGCAGGTCCAGAATATAAAATAAAATCTAATTCTATAACTGTATATGAAAGGTAAGGCTATTCTTTTATTTTCTTTATCTAAATTTACCTGCAAGCCAAGTTCTGGTCTCAAACAACTGATCGCCGAGGTCCACCAGCAGGTTTTGACTGGGCATGCTCACAAACACGGAACAGACAGCGAAGAGGACACCTCGTCTCACCATCCTTCCACAGACAAAATTCACATTAATAATAATGAAATTATCATTTTCACCAGATGCATTAATGTGAATGAAAGTAGAAGCGACGGAAGCTCAATCCTAAGACTTTTGCTTTGGTTCCACTACATCTGAAACTGTAAAATCCACTGAGTGACTCAGATTTGTGGAATAAATCCCCTCTTTAACATGACCCTCATGATATTAAAGCTCAGTTTGTGAGAAAAGAACACAAAATATCTCCTTTAAAGAAGACAACCAAACTAGACCAGACATTTCAGTGTGTGAGGGGAGCTCCAACAAAAGCCCACAGATTAGTAATGCCCATAGACATATTTATGGATCTGACGTACTGGTCAGCGTGATACCGAACTGCCCACACAAAGTCCAGCAAAGCACGACCCATTTGGGCAGCAACCTGAAAATTATACACATACATAAGGAGGTTAGCTAGGACACTGACATATCATAAGAGCCATCATATGAATTTGTACATTAAGAGTAATCCACAGTAATATTTAATCATGAAAATACCGGTGCGTTAGCTGCCAGATGCATTAAGAGCCCTAAAGTGTGGATCAACCGACCCAGTACCAGGTGGTCACTGCCCAGCAGGTCAAAGGTCACTTGAGGCCTGGCAGAAAAAATGTTATCGTTTAAGATTTATTAAAAACTCACTTGTTTTGTTGCTTTTTTTTTTTTAATGTGGCACACACAGTAAAATACATACCTATCATAATTCCTGAGCAGAGGAAAAAAGAAGTACCCAGCAACAGGAGCATAACGATTGGGAGCTGCCTTTTCTGCAGGTTGGGCGACGCCCTGCAGGTAAAAGGCACAGTTAAGGTAACTAAGAGTACGTTTGTACACAGTACTGACATAAAGACACATCAGTGTTCATGTACTTTTGATATCCGTCTGGTCTTGCTTTGGATTCGCTTTTCTACAACTTCTTTCCAGTGAACGGGGTTGTCTCCCGGGTATGGGGTGGACTCCGGAGGGGTAGCCTGGCCAATGGGAGCAGCTCTCCTGTCAGAGGCTGGAGCACACAGCTCCTGAGCTGCGGCGGCAAGGACCTGTACCAGAGCAGGCATGAACGGAGGTGCATGAGGGGAAAAGACCTTTAAAGTTACCTCACACAGAACTATTTACCTCCAAGATGTCGAGCCGCTGGCGGAGGCTGTAGTTCAAGGAGTAAAACTCTGTGGTTAGATACTGAGTGACCTAGAAAAAGATTGGACAAAAACAGTTTGATTTGTAATCAGTTCTGAGTGGATGTCTTAAAGCATTGGAGATGTGTGGATATAAAAAAAGGTGAGAGAAGCAGAAAAATCTGTAAGAATCCTACAGGAATACAGTCGGTGACGGTGAGAGCCACCATGGTCGACTGCCTCAGATTCAGAAAGCCAGAAATGCTGTATTTATCTTCCATGTGAAGAAGGACTTTGGTCATCTGGACACTGATCTGGAAATGACAAATATCCACGTAAGAAAGAGTCTTTAGCGAAAGCCTCAGAGGCTGGCGTCCGTCTCACCTCCCTCGCTGCAAAGACATTCCTCCGCACCAGAGCCTCAGCCGCCCTCAGACTCAGCTCCACGCGCTCCGGATCTTCAGAGGAGATCAAAGCTGTTTTTTGGGGAGGCAGGAGGACATTTAGTGAATTTTTAACCGAACAAATGACATTTTCAAACGAGTGCATGATCAGATCATGAAACAAGTCAATCGTATTTCTGACAGCCTTACTTTCCAGGCAGTCCCTGAGGTACCGAGGTGGGGATGCCTGACTCATCTCCTGATCTCCAGACATATCGTAGGGAGTGAGCTCGTCATCACTGGGCCGATAACAAAGATTAAGTTAGCACCAGACTCCTGTCATCCCTTTGAGACACACGCCATGGACCAAAAACAGCTCAGTAGCCTTACTGGGCGAGTACTGACCTGTCGAGGTCTGAGTCTGCTTCTGCTTTTGACGGCTGAGATTCTGACTTGTTTTTTGACAGTGTACTCTGAGTGGATGGATCGCTTTCAGTGGTCTCCACAGGAGAGTTGACACTGTGAAAGACATTATATTAAATGCTGTCAACAGTCTCGGAGACATGGTGGCAAACAAGTGCTGGGCAAACACATTCTGCACAGTATGAGGGGAAAATGACAAAATGTTCATTTTTAAAAGAGATGTGGCTACAAAAATCCAAACACGCACATTTTCTCCACTTTAAGATGTTCCTTTGAAAGTAAAAAATAAAAAACACGCAGTATTTTGTTTTCTCATTTCACAAATAAACGGATCCTACCTATTTCCAGGCTCTGGCTCTGCTTCGCTGAATGTGCTGGGGGTCATGAGAGCGAGCAGCTCTCGGGTCTCTTCATCCTGCTCATACTACAGCACAACGCAGCCCACAGTCAGACACGCCACCAACGAATGAGCCAACTCCTACTGCGGCCAGAACCGCATCGTCATGGGCTTCAGTTCAGAAAAAACACACAGACGGTACCTCAAATTTGAGCCTGGTTCCGTTGAGATCCATGCGGGAGCTCAGGCACTCGCCCACCACCATGCCCATGTTCCTGATCCGCAGCACGCTGCTGTCTAAATGGCTCTGCATGCCCCCCAGCATGCACTGGAGCAAGTCTGAGAACGCAATAAAGAAGGGAGGGCATGAAGAAACTGTGCTAGGTATGTCAGTGTTTTGAAATAAAACAGTGTTAACATACTGTACCCTCAAATATGTATCCTAAACAATATGATCTAACCTATAGCTACTTCATGTAGTAAGAAGCGAGCTCAAAGATAGGAAATAATGGGTTACATATTACCTTATTGGGATTATGGGAAAACGGTTATAAAACAATACACACTACAGCTATAAACAGAATGTCACATTTTGAAGTGGCAAACGCAGCCAGACTAACAATGACTTCATCCCTCTTGCAGACACAAAGTCTGACTTGGTGGTGCAGCTGCATTGCAGATGGCTGTGCTGTACCTGAGCGGAGCTCCTGCAGCTCCCCGTCCGTCAGCAGGCTCACGCTCAGCAGCAAGGCCCTGCTCACGTAGAGCTGCTGCTCCACAGGGGTGTGTTTCACTGCGCTGGGGTTAGCCCAGGCCTGCGACACCGACCGCACAACCTGAAAACGCCCCCAAACAAACATGCACGTCAAAGCCATATTCACATTCTACAATATAGGTCAAATTAGACGGTCAACTTTCAGGTTATTGAAAAAAGAAAAGAAAAAAAACCTGGGAAAGAAGTGGTCTTCGATCCCTGTCTGCCGCTAGGTAACCTAAAATTGTTCTCAAGACTTGTGTCTGGGAACAAATGTGACAAAAAAACACATCATTAATACTTACAGTGTGCATAATTTACTATCGAACAGGAAGTTGCTTGTTGTCAGTTACCTTGTACTTATATTGGAGTAATAACAGCTTATGAGTCAAAACAAACTGGGCCTTTTTATTTGTCAGCACCAGATTCCCAATTATCCTGCCCAAAGTATCAGGTCTGGAAAAAAAAACAAAAAAACAATACATCGATTGATTAAAAGGCCACCAAAAAGTCAATGTTGAAATGAAGGCCTTAGGCTGATATAGCTCAAACCCCTCACCCCCCAACAGCTGTAACCAGCCCGGTCAGCACGCTCTCCATCCAGCGCTCAGGAACACTCTCCACCAGCTTCCAGCAGACCCTCTGCCACACCATGTCAGAGCGCGTCCGGACGCAAAGGTGAGGGGCCATCACTGCCAGAACCGAGGCTGTCGGGGCGGAGGGGGGGGGCACAGAGAACCTCAGGATGGAGCAGGTGTGTACGACAAAACTGTATTTTCTTGTGTAATATGCATAGAACTCACCACTGTGTCCCTGGATGCACACTTTCCCAAATAGTTGAGCCACAAAAGACAAAGAACAATCGGTGCCATCTACGAAGGAAAAATGAGAGTTACAAAAGCCGATGATGGAGACCCAGATACGATGCGTACGGCTCTGGGAAACAGCTCAACGTCCAAACGCTGACCTCTGAGTGCCAGGCAGGTGCGCTGCAGCGCGGCCAGCATCTCGGTGGCCAGCAGCGGGTAGTACTGCTGAGGGAGGAACGCCGCCCTGCTGTGGGCTCCTAACGTGTTGGCGGTGATGTCTGGCAGGGCGCTGACCCGGCTCAGGAGCGTCTCCCGGAGCTGGGGGGAGTCTGCGGGGGCCGCCTGCAGACAGTGGCGCCCCAGCAGCTCCGCCAGGAGGCCCCGCTGGAGGAACTCCTCTGTGATGCTGAGCAGCCGGTCCAGGCCTGCGCTGGATCTGCAATGGAGAGGACAAATCATGAGCAAATACACATATAAATGATCAAACTTTATATTGGCCGTTCAGCAGCACCCACCTCAGCTCTCCAATGGCCTCCATCAGCACCAGCAGGGCCTGCTCCGGAGGGCCTTCCAGGAACAGTCCATCCCACAGCTGCGCGCGTTGTGGGGCCGAGAGGCCGTGCGTCCAGTCAGCCTGGATGTTGGTCACGAGAAACCGAAGAGAGCGGCTGTAGTGAGTTCTCCGGAACTCCGCCCGCTGGGCTGGAGGGGCCGGGCTCTCCGGTCCATCGTCCAGGAAAGAATTAAGCGTTCGGAGAGCACCGACGATGTCCTCAGAAACCGTGGAGGACGAGAGCGTCCTGAAACACTGACCTACGGCCGCCCGGACCTCAGCTGAAGTGGGGTCCATTTTTTAAGAAGATGAACAGCAGCTAACGGGTACATTAAGTCGAGGAGGGGAACAGTTTGCAAAGTTAGCTTGAAACTGTTAAATATCAAACACGTTTCACAGACTACAACAATAAGAGGGATTTAGCTGCGGGAGGATTTAGTTTTCAGTTTCAACGATAGCTCAAACCATTTCATCAGGTCAAACTAGCTGCTTAATCTGACAGAAACGGCATCACGCTCACTCCGACACCGCTCACTGTGCGCCACCAAAATAAGACCGCCAAGAGCAAGAACAACCACATTCGTTCCGCGCTTCCAATAACTAGGTAGTATTTTAAATATTTAAAATACTTATATTAATACTAATATCTAATATCGTCTTCTTTACCGTATTAGTTATAATAAATCTATGAGGTGAGGGGCAGACCTATTTCCATGGTATCCCACTCACTGAATAATTTAAATGAAAAAGAACACATGGAGCAGAGAATTGTTTAGTTTTTTTCTATATTTATGGCAACATAATCAGAGCATTATGATGCCAGAAGGTCAACTCTCCCGAGTTATGAGTTATCTTCAGTTCTGTGGGGGTGTAACTGTCCATCAGGTTCAAATAACTGACTGGAAACAGCATCATTATCATTCACAGCTCTCTGAGTCTGTGTGCATGTCCCCTGCTGCCCATTTCTTTCCTCTGGGCTCCAGAAACAAAGTTCTATCAGATATATCAGTTGGGATGTTTTGTTTAATTCGCTTCCCTAAAGTCAGTAAGAAGTCTTGTTGGCCAGCCTGTCCAGACCAGAGGCCTCTGCTCCCTGCAGAATCTTGGCCCCTTCTCCAACAATTCAAATGGCTCAATTACTCATCTTTTGAGATCAAACAGCACAAGGATAGCCATTTAAAAGTTTGACATAAATAACCCACTGAACAAAAATCTTCATTGTTGCATCTCCATACCAGTTTTCTTTAAATGGTGCAGAAGCGTTTAGAGTGTTGGTAACAGGATTTTTAATGTGGACATCGGACATCCTGAGGGCAGTGTTGGGCTGATGTTGTGCATGTGGTCAACCAGCAGGTGTAGCTGACAGATCAAAAAATGCAAATGAAGCCAAGCCACCAAAAACTTATCTGTTTGAAATTAAACTTTTCTGGGATCAGTGGTACTATAAACATGCTGCACATGGAGCCCAGAGGTTTGTGTTTCAAGCTTTCTGCTTAATACACAAAATACAACAAAAAGAAATAATGAGAACCAAACAGCTCTTTTTATTCCATTTATTTTTCTATTCATACTTTCACTGCTTACCTTTAATTCTTCTCTTTTTACAATGACCCACATATTTCCCCCCCACTGACAGTCAAGATTAGATCATTTTGGGGAGCTTCAAAAATAATATACAGCTGTACCCAATACTGTTATAATTTATACATTTATCTTTGAAAATAGGCATAAATTTCAAATTTTACATTTTTCTACAAGGTTCCTTTTTAACCTCCCATGTCACGCGATGCCAAGCGGCGCACGGCCCCGGCAGAGAGCCGTGCGCCCTGACAACACCTTCTTTGGACACTGGAAGTGAGCATGAGAGAAGAATGGAAATTCATATTTACAGTTCAGGTTTCACTGGTAGAATTGAACTAACTGAGCGTGGTCAGTGCTTTACTCAGGGCTCATCATCAGGTTCGATAGAGAGGCAAAGTTTGAGACACGGAGACACAGTGCTTCGACTAGCAGGCCAGCTTCAGACTTTCTTTCAGGGTAAGCCGACAAGAAAGTGTTACCGGAGGGGACAGTAGACCCTGATAGATAAATTGGTTGCTGGAAAAAAAGGGAACATCTTTCTTTGGTCATTTGAGAACAGGGGTTAAAAAGTGGAGAAATTCCGTCTGGTTAAAGTGCGATCGCCTTCAGCTCTGCTGAAAGCAAATGTTTTGTTAGCTCTGCGGTTTCACCCTCTAGTCAGCCTGTTGCCTGCCATGTTGGTCATCAAACCATCTGTCCGGAACAGACTAAATACAGTAGAAGTATCAGGGAAGAATAAAGAGATACGCAGTCTGCTGTGTCCGGGTGTCATATTATCAAAATCATACAGAGATTAAGTTGGTTTTGTCGGTAAAACCTCCCATCCCGCTAAAAGGCGGAGAGCTCAGCGAGCCTGGCCGTGAGGTTTGGGGCGTCATGTGGACATTGTGAGGTCTTGCATCCTACAACTCCACTGATGGGTATTGCAGTGTGTGAGTCGTCAGTCAAAACAAAAGACGGAGCTGTACAATGTGAAATATCTGTGTACCCATGCACCACCTGGGAAGACGACAAAAACTGCAGACTCTGCTCTAGCTGAGTGGCGGAGCCCGCGCGGGGGCAGAGCCGAGTCAGCGTTAGACCTCAATAAATAACCCCTGTGAGCAGGCCACGTTCCAGCCAACTCATCCACAAAACCACAAAATCTCTCTTCAACAAGTTCTCCCACAGATTCAGTCAGTGTGAATTATTTTCCCGTGGTGGATATAGAAAAGAAAAAAAAAAAAAAAAAGTACAAACATGTTTTCAGCAGAACAGATCACAGAGTGCGAGTCGTCGCTCAATAAATAGCCACGTGATTTAAAACGAGAAAAGAAAAGAAAAAAAGAAAAAAAAAAACCCTGACAGGTACTGTACACGCTACATGCTAGAGAAGAATACAGGCAGCTGTCCCCGTGTAAGACAAGGAAATCATTTTCGGACTATAAAAATACCTAGAATCTAGAATGAGTGTAGAAAAACTTTACATGTACAAGTCATTTACATCCAAGGCCATTTTTCTATGGAGTGACAAGGTGAAGAAGAGCAGTGAGAAAAGAGGAGAAGATGGTGAAAAGTAGGAATCTTTAGCATATTTGTGCATCCACGCCATGCTGTTTGAAAAAAGCCCCCCGTCCCCCCCCGACATCAGCTATAGGAATCTGAGAAGCTGAGGTAAAGTCCGACAGTGATGTCCCAGAGCCTCCACGTCTGCGCGTCGCTGATTGGTCAAAAGGCAGTTCGTACATTGTATTCCATCAGTGACAGAAACAAAGGGCGGGACTCTTTGATCTCCCCTCACCGCCCCCCCCCCCCGCAACGTCTACTTGCAGAGCATTATTGCTAACAAAGTTCTTTCCTAAACTATCTGTAAAAAAAAAACAGAAAAGAAAATACACCATGTAGATGAAAACCGAGTTAATCTTAAGACACAGCTGCAGTAACGTATTAAACACGGCCGTGTATTAGTTTCATGCTGTTCCTCTTCTTACCCACATGGAAAACAACGCTCGCCCATGACCTCATCCTGTCACAATGAACATTTCTTCATCAACAAAAAAACAACGGTGACAGCAAAACATAGTGCAAAGTACATCCATTTGATTCTTCACATCCAACTCTCCAAATGTCAGTTAGTAAAAATGACAGTTTGACAGATAATAAGTCACTTGTGCAGAACTTTAGGTTGGATAAGCTTCCCCATTTTACTCAGCAAGAGAACACTGGAATCAGGTGGGTTTGCAGGGGGTGGGTAAAAAAAAAAAAAAAAAGAGCTCAATTGTCAGAATCACTCAATGGTTTCCCTTCAAGTGTCTGGATGTGTTGATTGGTCAGCGGGACGCAGGAGAGATGTCCTAATCTAATGTGGTGTGCTGGAAATGTAGTGCTTTTTCTGCCCACCTGAGCTCCAGGACCCTGTTTCATCGTAAAAATAAATAAATAACTCATGAAGCAAATCATAAACCAGCCCTCACTCGTGACATTGAAGCACACAGGAACGCCCGTGTCATCCTATTCACCACCGAGCCGGTCCCAAACCAAAACAAAGAACAAAACGAGGAGATGTTGAACACGTCACACACACACAAACACACACGCACACACACAGACAGAGCCCTCCAGGTGTTTCTCATCTGCAAGCCAGCAGAAATGTCCCTCACTTGGGTTCACCGGAATGACGGCTGAACTTGCTTAGAGGACAGAACACGCAGCAGGGCCTGATGGGCAGCACGGCAGGCTGTCAAAGGTTTCTCACGTGCCGTCCTAACCCTCTGACCACGGCTTCATACGGCTCGTTTTCAACAGCACGATTCAGTGCAGTTCAGGATATGCCAGCTCAAACAATACCACCAGGTCTCAGAGCGGACCGGGCAGTGCGCAGAAACAATCAATGCTTTTGATTACCTTTCTGTTAAGGCCTTTAGGTAGAATTAATTTTTTTTTTTTTTCTTCTTTTAACTCAATTGGACTTTTTTTTTTACTTAATTTTTTTGAAGAGGAAGGGCGAGACCTTCAACTCTCTACACTGACCTCTTGCACACGTTTTGACTTTCACTCAGTCGGTATGTAGACCCGGGTCCCTCTAACCAAATACATGGACGTCACCAGAACCCAAGTGCATTCAGGAGGGCTAACATGTACAAATATACAGATACGCAACAAACAAAACAAAACAAAACAAAAAATCTCACTTTTCCACCGACAACCATGGATTCCTTAAAAATCTATAAATCTTCTTTTTTCATAGGAGGTGTTGGGTGAGTTATGTGCATTTTTTCGCCTTTCCGTTGACCAAAAAGGATGTCTGAATATTTTCATATTCTCTCTGCGAGTCTTCTTCTTGCTACGTCTCCAAAACGTATATCTATTTTTTTCCCCTCTGTGGCTCTGTGGAGACAGTGCAAGCGGCCCTCCGACTGTAGGGTATCTATTTGACTTCCAGGATGGAAGGGTTGCACTCCATGATGGCCACAATGATTTTGTCAATGTAATCCTGCAGTCTGTAGTTAATCTCCTCCTGTTTGTGAACAGCCTCCATCAACTAGAAAATGGAGAGGCAGAGGTCAGAGATTAGACAAGAGACAACAGAGTGCACCACTCAAATCAGAACCAGAGGCAGACTGAAGAGTGTGTGGAGGCTTTCTGAACCCACCTCAGTGCGGGACACAGAGCTGATCTCAGCTGCCAGGGAGTCGGAGAAGGAGGCCGACATCAGGTTCTTGGCTCCTTGGATGCTCAGGTTGATGATCTGGCCGTTCAGCTCGTCATTCTGCTCCTTCAGGGTACGGTTGTCCTTAAGAGATCATAAAATGTAAGAACGTAGTTTGAACAATGTGATCTGCACTGCACAACACTCACAACAAACTAGCAAAAGAGTGAGAAGAAGCTGGAGCGTGGGTCTTACCTGTTTGAGTCGTTTGATCTCCTGCTCCAGCTCAGCTTCGCGCGTGCGGGTCTGATATTCCTGCAGCCCTGCCCCGGGAGTGCGTCCTCTCTTTGCCTCAGCCTCCAGCTTGTAGAGCTGCAGGTGCTCCAGCTGTTTGCGCAGGTCCTCAATGAGCTGTGGGGCCACAGATCCAGGAAGCAGAGCAAAGTCAGGAGTGGGATAAAAACCATTCAGAGTCAGACACTCCACACGTCATGTCCGACACTTTGGGAGGACAGCATTGCCTTGAAAAAGTGAGGGGTTTTTCCACCCCGCTCCCACCTCCTGAGTGCACTCCTTCTCCTTCTGGCTTTGGTGACGCTCGTGACTCAGCTTGTCTGCCATTTTCCTGCGTGATTCCGTCTCGTCATCCAGCCTGTCGGACAGAGATTCCCCCTCATCCTCTAGCTTTCTCTTTTCCTAGAGGTAAGAAAAGAATAAATAAAGCAAGTAAAAAAAATGTTTAAAGAAAACAAGTGATAAAATGAACTAACGAGAAGACACTAAAAGGACAACAAAAGAAGAAAAAACAGATGCGACGGAATTGCTTTCACCTCCTCTAGTCTCTCGATGTTTGCTCGAAGACATGGAACGCAGGACCTCAGCTCACTGTTCTCCTCATCCAGCTGCTGCAGCCTGGGAAACCACCAAACATGTCAGACACCTCCGGAAACAAAGCGAAGAACACATATCACATCTGCTCGGTTCTGATGCTCCTTTAATGGAGGATTAGTGCCAGACGGTGGCAGTGTGGAGCCGCGACAGCTCCAACAAACATAAGGAATTAAAGCCTCAATTATCAACAAATATGCTTCTTAAGATAAATTAGATTTAAAAAATCGAATGTACACAGTTCATTTGAATTGCCAAAACATGTTGGCTTTGTGACTCAAAGAGCTCCACCCGTGCCCCATCGGCTCACCTGCCCTGTAGGTTTTCCAGCTCCAGCTCCTTGTCCCTCTCCAGCTTGCTCAGAGCCTCCTTGTGGCGCCGCGTCTCCTGCTGGAGCTGCTCGTCGGCGTAGAGCTCCTGCTCCTTCAGCTGCTCCTCCAGAGCGTTGGCCCGGTGCACCAGCTGGAGGTTCTCCTGGCGCAGCCGCGCGTGCTGCTCCCCCGACGCCTCCGACTCCTTCTCCAACTCTGCCACCCGACGCTCCAGCAGCAGCACCTGGAAGGGAGTCGGGGCTTTGTGGTTACGCGCGACCCTGTCCGACCAATCCATCAGACCAGAGGGCCGGCGGCAGGGACGTATGGGGGGGGTGGACTTTGTCACCTTGTCCGTGATGTCGTTGTCGGCGAGCTCCAGGATGTCCCGCGTTAAGTCACTCATGGTGTCCAGAGTCATCGAGCTGTTCTGGAGGAGGTGCCTGAGCGTGTGAGAGAGAAACAGAAAAAACTACTCCCTGTTGTTCCAAGTCCGATAAGCAGCTGATTTCAAGCTCAACTCTCTCTGACAAAAAGAACACAAAGAAGGGAGGACTGAAACCCCAGAAACTGTTTTGCTTACCGTGCCACTTTCTTGCTGGACAGCCTCTTTCCAGCACTGAATGATGAGAGAGAGAAAACAGGAAAAATGGTCAGGAAGAGAAAAGGAAAGAGACACTATCTCCTGGTATTCCTCCCAACCACCCCGCCACCACTCTCCGATAGGAGAGGAGACTCACAGAAAAGAAAAAGAGCGTTGAGCCGTTTTATTAGTAAAGTCATGGTTTGTTTTTTTTAAATATAAGCTTTAGCTAAAAGATGTTCACACGCACAGCAATCTAGAAAACACCACAGCCTGGATTGACTGAATTGGCAACTACCAATGTTTCAGTTTGGCTTCCACGCTGATCTGTCATATTACTATGAATAATCTATTCAAATAAAATCTAAAATGCAAAAAAAGTAGTGAAAAGACAAGTTCAGTTGTGCCCTGAATCATATTTAAGTGACTGGAAACCCATCTGATCTGACTTATATCCTCCATCAGCAAGTCTGTTGCATTGATTCTCTGCATGGACAGTTTAGTTAGCATTAACACAAAAAAGCATGAGCTGCCTCAGAAAACAGAAAAGCAGACCCACTTCAAAACACTTACCTGTAAAAACAAGCATTCCTGTTTCAAAGCAATATCACGCACACAATGAAACCAAGCACATTTACAAGTGATAGCTTAAACCATAGTTTGAACAGATGAGGTGGGGGGGGGGCGTGACAATTGGAAGGAAATGGCTACCATAATCTGCTGAGGGTGCAGATGAGTGGCAACAGTGTGAGATAAGATGGTTTATTACAGATACATACTATGTAACAGTGTGTGTGTGTGCAAGTCAAACACACACACACACACTGTGCAGCAGCTAGTCCAACACGTCATGCACACATCATGAGAACATGCGTGACCACTGCATCTAACCAGCACTGCAAGCGCATTCACACCACTGGTAATCGGAGCGGGCTGTGGGTGACGTGTTACCTAGTCATCTCTAGGAAATTGAGGCGGGTGGAGAGGTCCTCGAGACGACTTATTTGTTTGTGACACTGGCTACAGAAAAAGTCCAGCGCCTCCTCCCTGAGGAAGCTCTGAAAGCAGTCAGGGAGAGAAGCGGGTGCACTGGAGAGAGGAAAAACAGGAGGAAGAGGAGGAGGAGCACGTGGTGAGTGATGGACGAGAAATGGGGGGCGGGGGGGGGGGGGGGAGCATTCAGGTGGGAGAGGACACCCCGGGGGTTGAAAGGAGGCATTGGTGACTTCCACAGGAGAGTTTCAGAGAGAAAAGTGTTTGAGGTTGTAGTGGGGGAGAGACGTGAAACAGACTACAATGTGGCTGTGACTTAGATTCTGGAAAGTGGAAGGGGACAAAGAGTTTCTTAGATAAAGAGTGTGCAGGATCTCAAGTGCTGATACAAACTGGCATCTCTGTGGTTAGCTCAGACAATAAAAACAAAACAAAACAAAGTGATAGGCAGCATTTAAGTGAACTATAAGCACAAATCTCAGCTATTTAATAGCTGGGAGTCTTAACTTTTTTGCGTCACCTTTTCGGGACAATTTTTTTTTTTCAGGGAGACACCAGTCTGCGGTATGCAACTGGCACATGTTTGTGTTTATGTAAGCAGAAAGGCCGTGTTACAGGACACACAGTCACTTCATGGCCACACTCACTGTCTCACTGAGCCACTCCCCCCAAAACGGTGAGAACAAACATTTAGCTAAACAGTGTGTACAACAGTGTGTGTTGATGCACACAAACAGGCAGCGCCTGTTCACGTTCTGTGTGCTGTAATCTGGGATAGATGAACGTGTGTGTGTGTGTGTGTGTGTGAGTGTGTGTCTGTGTGTGTGGGCAGCGCTGCTGCATGTGCTAGCGATGAGCACGATAGGCTCAAAGCACGGTGACGCATTCACACTGAGTGGGTGAAGTCTGTGGGATGCTGTTTTTTCTTTTAGTGTGAATAATTTCTCAGTTTAACTACCCAGCAGATTTGTGGTCAAGCTGTGTGAGAAGGAACAATGGCTCACATTCAGTTCAACACTGTGTAAGAAACTTGCATGTAGGGATAGCTCTGATTTATGTCCTTTAACTGTCCTCTCCTTAGAAAAATATTATCCAGGATACACATACATCATTCTATTATGAATACTTAAGTGCTTTAGTTAAGTCCTCTGTATGCAGCTAAAGTGATGTTATGCAGGAAATACTTGTGTACATCCACTTATTTTTATGCCCTTCTCTATTTACCCATGAAAGTAAAGGTGTGATTTGCTCAGCTCTGCCTTTGTAGACAGCAATAGTTGCCCGTTTCTTAAATTTAGGGTACTACATTTATTCTGCTGGCAGAAGATGTGCGCCAATAAGCAAACTAAATAAAGCCAAGTACACCCAAAATTAATATTTATAATGTTGAATAATTATCCTTCAATAAAGAGGTTAGAATTTTGAGTATAAGAACACCCAAAGCAACAACTTCCATATGAGGATTAATGGTGTTATTGATAAGAACTAGATAATCAGGTTTATTTAGTCGACTTGAGCTGATAAGGGCAGTGATTAAAAAATAAAAAGGACTCAAGGAGGCTTTCTTTCTATATTTCAGTAAAAGTGATTAAAAAGACAATGCGCAATTTGGACCAATCCAGTTATACCAGCTTATTTCTACATTGTCACAGAGTTTGAAAAATCAGACAGTTCGCTGTTAAGAGCTTCCTGGCAATGCAAATCAAGGAAATAATCACCCAAACGGGAATTACGCATTATCCGGCTTAGACTGAGTAAGGAAGAAAGAAAGAAAGAAAGAAAGAAAGAAAGAAAGAAAGAAAGAAAG